CCCACAGCAAAACTCCCCCGGGCGCCCATTTGATCACAAGCAGCCACGACCTTCAACCCCCGTCACGCGAGTTTCTCGCCCACCCTCCTCGCATCACCCAACTCTCTTCCTCCCGTCCCACTCCCGGACCTCCTTCATGTCGCACTCGCGTCAGCGTCGACTCTGCACTCTCTTTATCTCCTGCTGCTTGTATTTTGTTCTCACTTCCTGTCCTAATCAACGCGAGACTTTTCCACAACCACGACGGAGCTGCTGCTCTTGCTTCTTTATGGTGGCCGGTGATAACGGCTCACTTTTGGTGTAGTGCACCTCAGAGCCTGTTGAACACTTGCCGCTCCAGCGGGTTCATGTTCTTCTCGTTGATGATCCTTTGTTGACCGCACCACAATGCTCACTGCGATAGCTCAACTCGTTCCTATCGAGTTTGCACAGCTTCTGGATGCTCGTTGCGTGTGGCCAGCCGCACTGAGGATCGCCCATGTCTATCACCAGGGAGACCTGATGTGACCACGTGGCACTCATGATCCCGCACGACGCCTAAAGACGACGCGGGGAGGACTACTATCAAGATACCCAGTCCTACTTGCCTCCGAGTCTTGATTGTGAGCAGTGGAAAGTGGGCGTGGTCATCGTCTGTCATTGGTATTTCGAGCTCCGCGAGAACCGATTCGCTGGGTCATGTGAACACGGTGCGTCCATAACTGGTTAGGGCCAATTTTATCTCGACCTGCCAGGTCAGAATGCCCATCTCTTCTGGATATGCCGCCCTGGGTATTCCACATCCCCATCCACATAAATTCCAGAACGCCATGCTTATGGTACAGCAATACTTGCACCAGCCGCCGCCTTCCCTGCTCATGACGTTTCCCCGGTATGCTCCATGATCGATCAAGAGTTCAAGTGTGCTTTGGCCTTGGTCTCTTTCTTAGTTTTGGCATCTTCCTTCTTTTTCTTCTTGGCGTCTGCGACCTTCTCCTCGTGTTTTCGCTTCAGGTCCTTCTTTTGATCCTCGGTCTTGGGTATCGCTTTGAAGAAGCCTTCCAACCGCGACTGCTGGGCCGTCTTGACGTTTTTCTGCAGCTTTTGTGCTGCGCTTCGGACCCGATCTTCATTGAATCCTTTTTCGTGGACCAAGAACTGGACCAGGCCTTCCACATCAGGGGCTTCCCACTTGAAGTCACACTCGGGATCATCTGCTGATCGGACATCTGGGTGGAGAAACAATTCCCTTGCGTCTTGGTAGGGCCAGTCGTCGGGGATAGTGTATTTCTTCTTCGGGTCATTCTCAATGAACTCGACCACCTTCTCCAACGAGCCGTGATCCCGGATGAGCTTGAGGGCTGTGTTGGGGCCAACCTTTGGAACCGGGTCGAGATAATCGCAACCTAGCAGGATACACAGGTCGATGAACTAATACGGTCAGAGGGAGGCAGCGACCCCAAAACCCCAGAGAGCGTACCTGTTTTCTGTCCATATTTAACCCTTCCAAGGTCTTGTCGAGGTGGATCTCCTGAATTGGCTCCTTGCGCTGCTCACTGAAGGTCAAGTGCCGGAGAAGGATCGGCGAGTCGAACGTCAGTGTATCCATATCTTCAGATGCCGCAGCATACACCTTTCCAGCACGTGCCAGGACCGCGCATTGTGCCTCGGCCTCGGTCGGCGCAACTATGAAGGGGATGCCCATCAGCTTGAGTAGCCGTCGGCATTCTTCATTGTGCTCTCTTGTCACTCTCACGGTTCGTCTCGAGAACTTCTCAACCTCTTCTGCAGTACCCGTCTCCTTCGCTTCCTCATGCTGCTCGGATGCTTCGTTCTTTCGCGCGAAGCGTTTTGCTAGTTCGCCGGACTTGAGCTTGGGGGGTGCACCATCGAAGACATAGAGGGGTTTGATCTAGAAATCTATCAGAGCTTGTATCGCATGCCCGCAAGGTGATCTTAGCGCTTACGCCGTTGTCGACTATTCTCAAAGTCCGGTAGAACATGCCCATGAGATGTGAGGTCGTCTCGCCGGTGTCGGACATGAGTTGTTGGCCATCTGAGCGGACTGCGACGAGGAAACTGTAGATACTCATGGACCTTGATCATGTCAGTCTTGCCGTCTCCATTGTAGGTCTATAACAGCTGACGCGTCAATTGCGACCTTCCTGCCAAACTGCGTCCGTTAGAATTCTGCACCGGCAGCGGGACGGGATGCGCCTGTTCTCGAGAAAACTTACGTGGTTTTTGATCTCGCCGGTCTTGATGGCTATACGACCTCAGTCAGCCTAATCAGTTGGCGAAAATGGACTGTGCTCATCTAAGGCCGGGAATCGACTTCAAACTAACCTTCTGGTGCCTCATCAGCGATAACCTGGTAAAGGTCTACCCCAAGTCAGCCTCGCGTGCACGAATGTGGATAGTGAGAGTCCTCTCACGTTTGATTCCCATTTTGTAAAATGCGCCGCTGGTATCAAGAATTAATGAGGGAAGTGGACTGTGGTGCAGAACAGAAATCCGAGAGGTACGAGTACGCGCAGAGTGGTTTGCAGGTCGCGTCAATGACGTCGGGGGCGCGTAGAGGCCTATTTGCTCCGCCGGTGCCAAACTGTATCGCTGTACGGAGTACGGAGCACTGTGGGGAGTTCCGAGCTGAGAGTGGTACCTCGCAGAACAAGACCTCAAAAAGGCTTGTGGATTTTGGTTGCTTGAGAAGGGGGGACTGTTCGAGACCACTACTCCGAGTCTGCCCGGGTCAATGTTAACTCCACTGATACTGGTTGCCTTTGAACCTTGAATCAAAAACAATACATCGTAGACGTCAGTGGGGTGTGGCTCTCGCTTGATGGAGAATTGAGATATCGCCGAGGTTCTGCAATCCGGCGCAGCACAGGATTGAATCACTTTCGCCGACGCCCTGAGACCTCAATACTTATACCCCTTACAAGATTCGAATGCTGCCTTGCCTTTCGCCCTGTGTACGCTTTCACTACTGATATCACCTTCGCCATGCTGTCACGTCACCTTCTCAGTCGAGCTGCGCGGGCACGCTCCAACCTGGCAGCGCGTACGGCTTCGCGCAGACATGCCTCCTCTGCAGCTACCTTCAGATGGGAAGACCCGCTCAACCTGGCCAACTTTCTGACCGAAGAGGAGCAAGCGATCCAGGAGACAGCACACTCGTACTGTCAAGAGCGTTTGCTCCCCAGAGTGCTGGAAGCATACCGCAAGGAAGACTATGACAAGAAAATCCTGGAAGAGATGGGCGAGCTTGGTCTACTGGGTGCGACCATCAAAGGCTATGGGTGTGCTGGTGTGAGCAATGTTGCCGCTGGTCTGATAACGCGAGAAGTGGAAAGAGTGGACTCCGGATACCGTTCGGGCATGTCTGTGCAGAGCTCGTTGGTCATGGGACCTATTGACGAGTTTGGGACCCAAGAGCAAAAGGACAAGTTTCTGGAAAAGTTGGCAAGGGGACAGTTGGTGGGATGTTTCGGTCTGACTGAGCCTAACCACGGCTCCGACCCAGGCTCGATGGAAACGACCGCGAAGCCGCATCCCTCGAAAGAGGGGTATTTCTCGCTCTCAGGTGCCAAGACGTGGATCACGAACTCCCCTATTGCCGATGTCCTGCTCGTTTGGGCAAAGCTACAAGAGACAGGGAAGATCAGAGGTTTCCTGGTCGAACGGGAGAAGTGCCCACCAGGTACCCTCGAAACGCCGCCGTTGAAGGACAAGAACGGACTTCGCGCATCCATAACGGGTATGATCCAGCTGGATGAATGTCCAGTGCCAAAAGAAAACATGTTCCCGGAAGTCGAAGGATTGAAAGGTCCTTTCTCCTGCCTCAACTCGGCCCGTTACGGGATTGCGTGGGGAACGATGGGTGCCCTCGAAGACTGCATACAGCGAGCTCGAGAATACGCCCTGGAACGAAAGCAATTCAAGAACAACCCAATCGCCAAGTACCAGCTGGTGCAGAAGAAGCTAGCCGATGCTACAACAGATGCGGCCTTTGGCCTTGCTGCTGCCTACCAAGTGGGCAGGCTGAAGGATGAGGGCAAGGTCACGCCCGAGATGATATCGATGATCAAGAGACAGAATTGTGACCGGGCCTTGGTCAACGCCAGGCATCTGCAAGAAATTTTCGGTGGGAATGCGGTCAGCGACGAGTATCACATCGGACGGCACGTTTCTAATCTGTTTGTGACTCAAACGTATGAAGGGCAGAGTGACATCCATGCCTTGATATTAGGAAGAGCCATTACTGGCCTCCAGGCTTTCTGCTAAACTTCGACCTTGTCTAGCCGAGGTTCTTTTGTACATAGGAAAAGATTCACGAAACATAGTATCGCAAGGTACGCCGTACCATGATGGCGTGTCGGGCTCGAATGGAATGCCAGTCGAGTAGGTCAGTGGGACGCTAGCTGCTGAGCGGAAAAGCAGAAGGAGTCCAGAATTTATGGCCTGGATATGTCACCGAATGTGTGAGGCTACTATTGACTGTTCAACCGCTGCCACTAGCCACCAACTATTGCTTTGTCATATGATTCTAATGGTGGCGATGAAAAAATGGAATACTAGGTGGTCCTTATTGGGCGCAGTCAGGCTGTCAGGCTCGGAGCACTGCCCAACGCGCCTCGAGTGCCTGGCGCCCAAGTTGGAGTGGAAGGTGCTCGTAACACTGACCGACGCCCGGGGCAAGTACGGCGAAGCGTCATTGACGCCTTTTCAGCCGAACCATCTCTCTTCCTTCTTCACCACATATACCTGTGACAACCACCAAAGGCGATCAAGTGACAGACATCTCGGTAAACCACGCTTTTATCTGCGGATACTTCGTTCTCTCCTCAATCACAACTCACACGCGGCACCCTTCAGGTCTGTCTGGCCCACGCACTTCCAACTTATCAGCTTGCGCATTACACAGGGTTGACTCGGATCGCAGCCCCACGTTCACTCGATATCGTACCCCTCTACCTCCGATAGTCATTCTACGACTCGCATAACCCACAACTTCCGCAATGGCTTTGAAGCGAATCAACAAGGAACTGACAGATCTCGGCCGGTGAGTTTTATCTTGCCGCTATATTCCACCAAGATCAACCTGAAATGGATCTCGAATCCCAATCAAAGGCGTTTCGCACGGATGTCCAAAATACTGACACGCGTTCGCTCTAGTGACCCTCCTTCATCATGCTCAGCTGGTCCTATGGGAGATGATCTGGTATGTTGACTGCTTGGCGAGCCACTGGCCCTCCTTTCCCTTTCCGGGGGGATGGGATGGTTCTTCAGCCTGCAAATTCGGCTAACGGTCATCTGCAGTTCCACTGGCAAGCGACAATCATGGGCCCTGTAAGCTCTAAACCGGTAACATCCACGTCAAGCTGGGGTGAGACTGACTTTCCATCCAGAGTGACAGCCCGTTCCAAGGCGGTGTCTTCTTCCTGGCCATCCACTTTCCCACAGACTACCCTTTCAAGCCACCGAAGGTCAACTTCACCACCCGAATCTACCACCCCAATATCAACTCGAACGGCAGTATCTGCTTGGACATTCTACGAGACCAGTGGAGCCCGGCTCTGACGATATCGAAAGGTATAGATGACAAATCGTTGGATTTGGTACAATATAGACACTGACATCCGGACAGTCCTTCTCTCCATCTGCTCCATGCTCACCGACCCCAATCCCGACGATCCTCTCGTGCCGGAGATCGCTCACGTTTACAAGACCGACCGCGCTCGATACGAGGCAACAGCCAGAGAATGGACGAGGAAGTTTGCAATCTAGATGGTGTGGCACCTGAATGGTGATGGCGGTAGTAGTGGTGGTGGCGGCGGCGGCGGCGGCTAGACGTTCTACGGGATTACTAGGTGGCAGGGCTTATGGTGCCGCGATCGACAACATTGCACCCCGGGCGCAGAACGCAAGAGAGCTGGGCTGGAAAGGGTACGGCATGTTTGACGAAGAAGTCATGAGCAGCCGGCACAATATGACATATGCATTACAACCACGGATGCAACGACGAGCAACGGGAGAAACGGGCGCAAACGCTACGAGGGATGTTTTCTGTCCAACCGCACGATCTCGGATGAACTCTTTATGATTGCATTACACCAGGGCGTTGCTCGAGGGATAACTGACAACTGTGCTTTTGCTACCTGCGCCTCTTCCTTGGGTCTTTTCGTGAACCTCTGATGCATGCAGGACACTTCCTCTGCCCAGCGACTACACGCGCCCTTGAGAACGTGCTTTGCTCCTGCAGCCGTCCAGCCGGACATAGGAACATCATAACGATCAGCCAGGGCACGCCCAGGCAGGGTCACAGACCGATAGATACCATCACCCAATCAGAGCGGTTGTTCGGCCTGCGAACACCGCGCTCCGATGTTCCCAGTTCAGACACGGCCGCGAGCAAGGCTCCTGGGGACTGCGGGAGCACGTGCTCGTGAAAAGTCGGCCACTTCTCGCTATGCCCCGGGCTGAAGAGCCTGTCGTCCAGCACAGGAACCACTCGGGTGCATGGCGCCCCATCGCTGTACTTGTAGACGGTCCAGTGCAGCATTCTTGGGCGTGCTCGTACGTAGTGGGAAAGCCTTGCATCGGTGAAACAAGGAGGCTGAGCGGCAAAGGTCAGCAGAGGGTGAAAAGAGTTGGTTCGGCCCCTAGCGTGTTTCACGGGCCTCGCCTCGACGCCAATCACTCTTCCACAGCCTCTTCGCCTGGTTTTCCAGGTCCAGTTCCAAGCTCCGTCCACAGCGTCTGGCCTTTCACTTGTACGCCGGGTCGCGACGCTTGTCACCGGCGCTGTGGATATGCGAGCACTTGCAGTGGGTGCTTCTTGCGCTTGCAGCGTGATCAGCACCCGATAGCATCCCCCTGAGATTTGCATCAACTCGACAAACCCTCCTCCGATGATGCCTCTGCTGCACGAAGCGCCGAAGGGGTGGTGGATCAAGGTTCCTTCAACAAGAGCCTATTTCTCGATCTGCCCTGTCCTGTCTTCTTGCTTGTTTGTGCAGATCACCTTCTTCTCTTCATCTGCCCGGGGCACGTTGCTAGGTCTTGTATAGACGTGGGGTGTTGAGCACTTCTATTTCGCTTCTCCCAAGCCCAAACAGCCCGCTTGGCGAAACACCGCGGTGTCCCTGGTCGTACGAGGTGAGTGACGTGCCGTCACGCGTGTCCGTCATTTTCTCACACTGATCCCGTCTCAGGTCGAGTGTTTCGAAACCGTCGAAGGAGCCCGTCTCAGAGGCATCGCCCTGCCACAGCAACGGTTGCGAATTGCCAGTGTGCTGTGGACCTTCACCAGAAACGCGACAGTGTCAGCTGGTTCTAGACCACCGCCCTTGGAGTGTACATTACAGCCATGAACATCTCAATGCCGCAGTCTTCCCCTCCTTCCTACTTCTCCGACATACCGCTGGGACGGTCGAATACTACGACGCATAATAATGCTCCAATGTATTACCTCGAGAAACCATTGGCCCGGTCAGACACGAGCTCGACAACCTCGACCATGTCGGAACGAACAAGATCCACGCCGCTCTCGAGGATGTTGTTGTCGGGGGAAGTCAGTGGGGAGGCGCCTCGAGATCTGAACTTGCGGGAGCGCTTCGAGCGATGGATGGTGAACGAAGGGTCGAGGAGAGTGGTCGTGGCCGTGTTCGTGCTGGTTCACGGACTGATATTCGGCTTCGGGTTTATGAACTACCAGCTGAAGGACAACCTCACGGGAGCCCGCGCGACGTTTGGCATCACGTATCCCATCGCCCGGTCGGCGGCGTTGGTCCTCCATTTCGACGTCGCCTTGATCCTCTTTCCCGTCTGCCGGACGCTGATATCGTTACTTCGACAAACACCGCTCAACAGCATCGTCCCATTCGACAAGAACCTCACCTTTCATAAACTCATCGCCTACTCGCTGGTCTTCTTCACATGGGTCCACACCATCGCGCACTGGAACAACTTTGCTCAGCTGGCCGCCAAGGCGAACTTGGGCTTCGTCGGCTTCCTGAAGGCCAACTTTGTCACAGGCCCCGGCTGGTCTGGCTATGTGATGCTCTTTGCCTTGATGGCAATGTTGTTCACATCGATTGAGAAGCCGCGACGAGCCAACTATGAGCGCTTCTGGTCGATGCACCACCTCTTCATCATTTTCTTTGTCTTTTGGTCCGTGCATGGAGCTTTCTGCATGATCAAGGCCGACAATGCTCCCTTCTGCTTCGGCACCGGTGTCTTTTGGGAATACTGGATGTACGGCGGCTTTGCCTATCTCATGGAGAGAGTGCTGCGTGAGATTCGAGGTCGCCACAAGACGTTTGTCACCAAAGTCATTCAGCATCCCAGCAATGTCGTGGAGATCCAGATGCACAAGGAGAAGACCAAAACACGCGCGGGCCAATACATCTTCCTTTGCTGTCCTGAGGTCTCCATCTGGCAATACCATCCATTCACTCTCACTTCTGCGCCCGAGGAAGACTACATCTCGGTGCATGTACGGATGGTGGGCAACTTCACCAAAGCCCTCGGCAAGGCCCTCGGCTGCGACGACGGCAAGGCGAGCAAAGATGCAGGCGTCAAAAAACCACGCTCCGAAGTCGTCTCCATGGCTCCTGGCGGACTGCAGAAATTACTCCCTCGGATCTATGTCGACGGACCCTTTGGATCTGCTTCTGAGGACGTCTTCAAGTTTGAGACGGCGGTCCTCGTCGGCGCCGGTATTGGCGTCACTCCCTTCGCAAGTATCCTCAAGTCCATCTGGTATCGCATGAGCCAAGGTGGTGGCGGCAAGTCGCGGCTCCGGAAGGTCTACTTCTTCTGGGTATGCCGTGACTTTGGCACATTGGAGTGGTTCAAGAGTCTGTTACAGGCCATTGAGGCTCAAGACAAGGCGCACGCCATTGAAATCCATGCCGTAAGTCTCGGCCCTTCCCATCATTTTCCATGCGCACGATGCTGACAAGTCTCCCACAGTACCTTACCGCCAAGATCTCCGCTGCGGACGCCAACAACATCATGCTCAACAGCAGCGATACCGACGCCATCACCGGCCTACGCACACCCACCAACTTCGGCCGCCCCAACTGGGACATGGTCTTCCGGGCGATACGCAAGCTCCACTCACCCGGTGAGGCCGGCGTGTTCTTCTGTGGTCCCAAGGGCCTCGGCTCACAGCTCCACATCTTGTGCAACATGTACAGCGAAGGCGACAAGGGGTTCAGCTTCGTCTGGGGCAAGGAGAACTTCTAAGTGACCCATCGCCCGTTTTGCTTGGCACTTGCGCCCTTCGTCGATTGTGTTTCTTGAGCAGCAAACCTTTTGCATTGCGTCGGATCGGACACTAGGGTCCATTGACAGCGGAAGCGGGAGCGGGAGCGAGAGTAAGCGCGGTACCAAGCGCTTAGGAAATCGAACTTGTCAACAGAAAATCAGGGAACTTGTGCTTGTGAGGCAGCTCGGCAGACAGATGGATTTAGGCCTCTTTGACAACGATCGTTGCTGGACCGAGCAAGAACGTCGGCTGCGCCAAACACAAAAGGGAATGTCTCGTCGAGGCGGGCACCACGCGTGTCCTCTCTACGGCCACCGCCGTCGCTGCCGGCACCATCCACATTTGAGCCGTCGCGCGGAAAGAAGCGACCGCCACCATGTTATTTGTAGCATTACATTTTGGGGGGGGTTTTTTTTGATAGAGATACCACGATACATCACCGTTGCTCGAACTACGAGACTCACGAGGCGAAAGTAAAAAGAACAGAATGAGAACCTTTTTGGAAACCGTCGAAAAAAAGAAAAGGAAATCATGATCAAGCTTCGTACCGTAGTAATAAGTATAGCTGCGTGACTCGCGCCTCGACTCGAGTAGGTACGGAGTACGGATTACTCTATATGGTGCCGTCTATGTATGTATGTATGTATCGCTGAAAGAGGCAGCGTATCTTCTGTGAAGAGTACGGAGTACTCGCGCGGAGTATTGCTGGGAATTATTTGATGCCCCATTGCTATCCCGGTCCCCTAAGGTACCTTGTACGCAGTATACGTCCTTTCATTATTAATTATTGCCTTCCTGATCCGTCTTGATAGGTAGGTACTGTGGTGAATGGCGCGGAGGCCCATCAGTACTGCACGACGGGGGGATGCCTCTACACATTCAGAGCATATCATTGTACAGTACGGAGTATGCTTGTATGCTTGTATGCTTGTGCTGTACACAGTACCTAGGTAGGCATGGGTGTTCTTTGTTACAGTAAGTTCATGTTTGTCTATGTCTTTGATTACTTGCTTGTTTGATGCACACAGAGGCGCAGGAGCAGGATATCTTTTCTCTCCCCCTTTCTGGGTACATATGTGAGCTGGCGACATCAATTCATCTACTCATTAGGTAGCATAGAAATGATCTTCTTACCTTTTCTTTCCTTTCACAGATTGCTAGTTCCTAGGTACTATTAAGTCGGTCGATCGGTCAGTCAGTCGGTCCATTCCTCACAAGGTACGGAGTACGATATATAGGTTCGAGTAGATACTGTATCAACGGCGCGCATGAACCAGTCTGTGTTGAATCAGTCTGTGTTGAATCAGTCTGTGTTGAACCAGTCTGTGTTGAACCAGTCGCTGGGCTTGGGCCGAAAGAGATGTCGACAATTGTCTGTGATCCAAGAAACAGAAACAGGATTGACTCTCGGCAGGCAGATCTACTCTTACCGGACATTATCGTGCGCGGCGTTGTAATACATATACTAGTATTATTATGACAGGACTGAAGGTTGAGCTACCGTGTTTGCTCTCTCCGCCTCTGAGTGCCTCTGTGTAGGTGTGTGAAAAGCACACACCCCGAGCGAGACCATCACCATCACCATTACTATCGCTGCATCTCACACCTCACGCCTCACACGTCGAGCCACACACGTCGAGCCACACACATGCCATCGTTCTGGAGCGGTTGCCTCTTTCCAGTCAAAATGACATGGCAAATCACGGATTCCTTGCGACTTCGGGATCGAGTTTGGCGAGCACGCTGGCCGATCCCGCCTCTTCTTTTCAAAGCGTACTCGAATCTGCGAAGTTCGGCTTCAACGCTCGGACCATGTACAAACTCTATTGTTCTCAATCTTTTGGTTGGGCGGGCTTGAAAAGTCATACCGTCTCATGTCATACCCTGTCATGTTAGTTCGTGACTCGGTGGACGTAGACGGAGAACCAAACGATCTCCAACACCCTGCGTGAGGACCTCTGGTGGCGCGAAAAGTCGACTCGAAAGGTCCTCGTTGTGCTCACAGCAGAATACTTATATCGATAAGTGTCCCCGGTATGTGGTGGGTGACATGTTTGCGCGACATCAGCCGCGTTCGTCGCTGCGGCAAAGCTCTTCACCCCTCCGGGCACTGCCATTGCACTGCCTCTGCCCTCATAGTGTATACTGCTTGCTGTCGACACCAGTCGTGTTGGCCTCGAGGTTTATGCCTTCTTTTCCAACACCAACCCACCAGCGCAGACCACGGTTCCTGCTCGACACAGAACGGGGAAACACCGACGAACCCAATACCTCCTCGACATGGACAGAGGAGCAGCGATGCCGTCAGGCAGCATGGCAGACACTCCACAAACACCTACTCTTCTCACAGTCCCTACTGAAATCCGTCTGAGGATATGGGAGTCCGTCTTCGATAGGCTCCACTACTTCGGCGGGGTTAGCCATGATGACTGCCGCAATGAGAACCCTCCCAGGGGGTATATAGAGGAAGAACCCAAGGAAATCGTGGACAAGGACTTGGACAACGATGTCGACCTACCGCCAAAGCCGCTACCACCTTGTCCTTGCAATGATCGCCAGCTTCTGCCCCTATATCTGTGCCGACAAACGTACGAGGAGATGAAGGAAGCGTTGACAAAGGCCCGGATCACAGCCGAGTACACCTCGAACCCAGTCGTTGAGCTCAAACCCACATTCTTCGGCCGTATCCACACATTGATCCTCGACGAGACTGTCTTTCCGATCCTGAAATTCAGTCCTGGGGTGCTGGACCGTGTCGACTACGACGATATCGAGTGGGTTTTCCCGGGTCTGAAGCGAGTCGTCATGCCCGAGGGGTTGGGCTCTGGGTTGGGCCTCCGCTTCCCTTCCTCCATACCCATGCACATCTACAGCTGTTTACGCAACCGCGAGGGACCCAACGGGATGCCGACGGCGGACATGACCGGGATTGTCCGTTCCGACCTCTCGGGCCATGGCTTCAACGAGCGCTTTCACGCCACCGAGGTCGTTGTCCGCAACGCTGGGATCGAGGTCTCCAGCACGTATCGGTACATGATCTGGGCGTCCCAAATCCTCAGCTGGCCGTTCAACACGGACGAGAACGACATATACAAGGGGAATTTCTCTGGGGTAACTATTGCGGTTCCTTCGATCCGGTGTCCTCCTCCGTGGCACATACTCTGTGCGTAGTAACTCGCTGACGTGCGGGTTGTTTTCTTCAGGAAATCACTTGGGACAAAACGAGCATGAGAATATCCGATCTACCCGACTTGCGGGATGAATGGTGGTTCGACGAGTGGCTGATCGATGACGGTCACGAGCCACTCCGTCAGGAAATCGACTGGACCAGCGAGCTCGGAGGTTGGGACATGATGAATCTGTTCGACCGGACGGGTGACGAACGTACGATTTGGCTCGAGACACATGAGTTGTCGAACTCGTTTACTTGAACTCTCAAGGAAATCGAGTGTGTTGAGATGGTCAAGGCCGTGCCTGTCAAAGGACGCGATATGCACAGAATAGCTGTGGTTGTTAAGGTGAGCTCGAGCTGATGAGCATGCCTATGTTGAGAGAAGTAAGAAAAGGAACAAAGGGATGGACACAGTCTGGAGTACGGGCTACGCAGTACAGAGTACGCACTATAGAGTACGTAGTATATAGAGTACACAATACATTGTAAATCTGCCGCCGAGAGATCTATGCCGCTTTTATCTATTGCACCAACTTTACCACAATAGGGATGGCTCAATGACTTAAAGCACCCGCCGCTTTACTGGACGGCTTGCAATAGTCCTCAGCCTGTCCTCAGCCTCCCTCTGGCCTACATGTCCCTGAAGGAGCACCACAGGGAATCCACCTGCAAACATGGCACAAGCCGATCGACTGTTCAATGGACTCTATTGGGTCGAGCAGAGTCTCAAGTTAGAATCCCCTGAGTAGAGAGGTGGATGCAGAAAGGGTATTTGAGCTGGCGACCGCTAAAGCACAATCGATCGGAGCTCAGCCCAAGTTATGGTAGGAGACTCTCACTATTGTCTGCTCTCGGAGGGAAAGGTGTTGGGGGTCGGACTTTGCCAGGGGGCGAGGCGAGTCTGGGAAGCGACAGTGCGACAAGAGTTGCTTCGTCATCGCTTCATTCATGCGTACATACATCCATTAGCCTTTCAACTACGGCTCACATCCACGTCGACCGCCAGTGGGCCTAGCATATCATCCGCCTCGGCCTGCCGGACCCTCGCGTTCGCCTCCCTCTCCAGCATTCTACGCTGGAACCCCATTGTGGCCCATCCCCCTAATCGATTGAAGAATAACCGTCCTGCGGGATGTTTCCTGACCCGGTCGAGCAACGTGGTCACCGCGTTTCTGACTCTGCGATCCTCATGCCAGAGTCCCAAGCCGACGTAAAATAGCCCGGCTTCAGACATGGGTGCCATCTCCAGCAGTTCGAGGATACTTTCGTAGTCTGTGCAGTATGCCTCTAGCGCCAGATAAATAGCCCCCGCCTCGGCAGGCGTCAAATGCAAAGTCCTCAACTTGGCAAGTGAATGATACAGATCAACATACGGTTTTGCGGGCGCATGAGCGAGCATGTTCGCCATGCTGACCGGCGAGGTCGGCGACTTAGGATCCGAAGCATGAGCGGCTAGGTCCGAGATAAATGCATAATAAGACCGCGTGTTTCTCCAGCCTTCAATCCTCGCTGCAGAGGCGGCGAGTTCCCGCGTTTTGGCTTCCTCATTGGGCCAGACGTAGCCGTGGCCTTTGAGATGTTTGCTAGAGGATTTGAGCGACATTGGCCGGGGGGCGGTTGTGCTGCCCGGAGCATCGGGCTTTTCAACCTCTGTTGGTGGCAGGACGGAAAGGCTGCTTGCGCCGTAGACGGTTTCTTCGAAAGCTGCTGCGATACGAGTGAATTTTGTTATATAGGCGCGGAATTTGGCGCGAATGATGGACTCGCCGGCTCGAGAGGCAATGCCTCGGCTGACGTCGTCCATGAAAAGCACATCGCCTGTGGCATCCGCGTGATTCAGATCTTTTTGACTCATAATGGAATGTCCATGGTGATGGAAGAAGGTCGTGCCCTCTGTGACGGGGGCAGCTTCGATACACGAAGAGATTTTCATCCTCCCCGACGGTAGGTCACAGAGCAGATCCCACCACTCTGGATGATAGGAAAACGCCGGGTTGGTGACTCCTGCGATGAATCCGGGCACTTTGAGAAGTTCATCGATCTTTGTCAGATCTGTGTAGGGAAACGCATGCCGAGTGAAACCTCGTAGCACCCCGCCAGAGGCCAAGGCACATGCCGCCAGAACAGCTTCTGCAACTTCGCCGGACGGACGGTTGTGGCCTAGAAAGATGACTCGTTTCTCAGTGAGCATGGCGTTTATGAGGACCACGATGGGGTGGGTGAACGCTCCCGAGGTGGTGAGATGAGGGTGTAGCGCGAAAGGATGGGGCTGGGTCTGATGCGGCGTGCCAAAGATTTGTACCAGTTTGATCAGCGAGAAGTCGCCAACTGTCTCGGGAGACAAGGCGGTGGGGATCTTGACAGGTATAGGAATGCCATTGTAGACAATCTTTGACTCAAACTCGTGTGTGTCTCGCGGCACCGAGTACTTCGGTTCCGCTTTTACTGGTGATTCTGGGGCATCCGGATCCTTCGCCAAGGCTTCATCCGTCAACCGCTGGGATATCATCTGCTCGAACTTCTCGATAAACATGTCTTTGACATCGGTGGCTTGTAGGATGTGTCGTTCCAATAATGAGAGCCGGGGCATCAGGGACAGGTCCATGGCGTTGAGAGCATTGTATAGCAATTCGAGCGTGTCCGGCGTTGGTGATTTGAAGTAGTCCTCGAGAGCCAGCAGCAACAGAGGCTTGTATATGTGCAAGAAAGAGTGTCTCGTGCATATAGCCATCGCCTTGACGACGGCGCCTCTCTTGACTGTACTGTCTTGCTTGGTATTGACCAAGTTGAGGACGTACATCAGGGGAGGGCTGTCCAGGCTATCCACATCACTTTCATCACTGCTTGTGTCGTCTTCGAGCTCTTCTCCGCCAGCTGCCGGGGTCTCACTAGCATCCGTCGCACGTCGTTTTGCGTGTCGCTGCCGCCTTCTAGCTGCTCGTTCAGCGATGTCCTCCTCACTTGTCCCCGCATCCTTGTGCAGGAAGAACATGGTCCAATCCTGCTGTCGTACGTGTGTCTGATCTGGAAGCATCAGCTCCGCCAGCATGTTCTCGTCCGGACTGATCGCGCCGGGATACTGGTGCTCCATTATCGGGCCGCGATCAATATCGAACGAGGCGACCAGGATATATTCCACATGTGATTCACTTGAATTAAGCGGATACTGCGATCGTAGTCGCTTCGAAGGTCGATACGGACCATCTTCGTACACGGTCGATACTCTTTGAGAGGAGCGATGTGAGATTCTCGGTGAGGGAGGGGCCAGTGATGTCTGCGACGAGACCTTGTAGTGAGAGAAGGTCGACTTATGAGAGCCCGAATTGGAGGAGGTGGATCGTGGACGGTCGTAGTGTCCCAGTGGTGGGTGAGGTCTGTATACCATCGTTTCAGTCATGACTCCGTAACACCCGCCGCCGCTGCCGCCGTCGTCGCGGGAGCCGGTTCAGAATGCCTGCGTCTTCTCTTATATCACTTATAGTCGACCAAATCCCAATCAAGAGTACGGCGGATTCGTGGACTGGGTCAGGGTGACGCGTGGAGGCAAGGGTTTGCTTGAGCCGTTCGTGCGAGGAGTGTCAGATAGTCTAGCAAGCGACAACTGCGACAAGTACAAACTCTCACTGCCTGAGATCTCATCGCGATACTCTCCTCATCGAGGTCGAAATACTTGGGGTAGCCAGAGTGCCCATCCCTGCCAGGACGCGGGTCCTGCCCCTGAAAGATCAGCGCCTTAGCGCCCGAGTGCGGCCTGAAAAATGATTGGGCTTCAATCGGGCCGCCCGGGCGTGCCTAATCGATATGCGCTCGCCAAACCTGCCAGATAATGGTCTTATCGAGAGTCCCGCTGCTGTGCCAACACGGGCTTGTTTACTAGTATTCCGGCATTCCAAATGCATCCCCCCACGAGAACCGATTCAATGACACCACCAGGCAACAAAGAACTGAATCGTGACCATATGAGAGTTCCAACTGCATCATCTTCTGACACCACCGCTGCCCATTGACGGAAAGCGACAATGGTATGTACCGCATAGACGCTGTTGGGTCGCAGCTCTGCATGCTAATACTCATCTTAGTCTTCATACAAATCTACATTCAACTCGCCGCGCTCATCCCCTTTCCGCCGACCAGCCTCTCCAGGCTCACCTACCCTAGTCAGCAATGGAAGACCCAACACTCCGCCAACCAACAGGAGCGGTGCATCGCCACTGACTTCGCCATCCAAACTGAAGCATGCCTACACCGTCTCGGAAGAGGAGGAGGACGAAGAGGAAATAATTGTCTCGACGCCCTCGAAGGCTACTGGAGAAACGCCCTTCCGGAGAGCACAAACTGAACCACCACCATCACCACCTACCCGTCAGTCACAGCTCGTTTCACCGTCCAAGTTCGAGAGGCCCTCTCTGTCAGTCTTGGACAACGGAACAGCCAAGGAACCACGCAGGCTTGTCTCGAACGGCATGCTTTCCCAGAACGACAACCTCTCCAAACTCCCTCCCCAACTACTGCACAACATGCGCGAATCCTTCTCCGTCCTGGACTCCAATTCGAACGGTACGATCGACGCGTCTTCGGTGGCAGAGACCCTCCAGTCTCTAGGCTTGCACGAGAGCAACCTATCGCAATTCTTCGCTGCCGGACAACCACAGCAGATGTCCTTACCTCAATACCTCGGCCAACTGGCCAACATCCTAGTCGGATTATCACCCCAGCAAGAGCTGCTGAACGCCTTCTCCGCCTTTGACGACGACGACAGCGGCCAGATCGACATCGCAGAACTACGCACCGCGCTGCTCAACACCGCACCCGACCCCGGCGAACGGCCACTGTCCGCAAAGGACATTGACCGTGCAATGGAAGGCTTCACGGGCCGAAGAATCCTGGGCAAGAATGTCATCGGCATCGCGGGCGTGCGAGGCCTGAAGGACCCTGCGCCCAAGAAAGGCGGCGACGTATTCCGCTATCAGGAGTTCGTGGGCAACCTGACCGGTGGTCCGGCGACGGAGGGTGGCCATGCTCAGGTTGTTGCTTCTCGGTGACGGAGTTGATACGAATGCGCTCGAAATATCATGACTATCTTTGTTTCGTTTTTTCCTTCGTATATTCTCGCACTGATGTACTGTTGGCGCGTTATAGTCCTCTTATGTCTTATTCGGACCGGCAGTGTTTACTGTGCAATCATTGAGGGTTCTGAAAAGATGGGCGCACAGGTATGTACGAGTAGTATGGGGTATCGCGCCACTTTGGGTCTGCCGGGTCTGCTGGGTCAGCCTAAATCCCGAGGCGGAAAGTGAGCTCTCCTATTTTCGGGCGCACGTGTACTGTCGTGACTAATGTGCACAGTACAGGCACAGTAGTCCGCCAAGGTAGAAGCGTGGTCTCTCAGGGTAGACATCTAGTTTGCGACGGAACATGACTCCTACTGTGTACGCATACAGGGCCTGTGGCGTGCAAAACCAGGAGCCGTGTGACTTCGATATGAAATATAATAATAGTCGCATCGAGGTACCAATCCACATCATACGCCGACAGCCACGGCGTCCTCGCTATCTTTACACATTGTACATCAGATTCGTGTCCATCCCGTCCAGGCATAACCGATCTTGAACCCATAACGCGCTCGTTTCCAACCACATCAGACCACGTCCCGGCAGGTCACACGCGTCTCGATCTTCCCTGTCGCTGCCATTACTTCTTCGATGTCTTCGGTGGTGGCGGGAAGTACAGCTGCGGGGTTGCGCCGTTTTGTGGGCTGAAGTGCTCGACCTCAGGCGACTTCCCATTGCTCTTATCTGTGCCGAGTCCAACGCGGCTGAGAAAGCCCGGGCTCATCGGGCTTCTGGGGATGTCGGGGCTTCGAGTGTCCAGGGATGGTGCCGTGGGAGCTACTGGCGCGCTGGGGGAGCTCAAGTGACTTCTCAATGGCAAATCCTTTGTCCCGCCGAGGGTGTTGAAGGCCATTGTCCTCGGCGTCATGGGATGCTTCGCTTGCAAGCCAGGTGTTTCCGGCACGGGGAACCGCGCCACGGTCGTCTCTCCGGTCTCCGCATCCTGGTATGTCTCGAATTTGGCCCATCGTTCAGCCTTAAGCCGTTGCTTCTCCGCGTATTCCTCTCGCTGCTGCTGGTTGGGGAAGCAGCTGTACAGGGCGAGCCCGAAGTACACCGCGAATAAGCCCAGCATGGCGCACGTGCATGCGAAACTGGCTTTGGCCTGCTCGCAGTATTGGATGTTATCCTTGTTGTGCGCGACGTTGCAGTTCTCGGTTATGTACCATGGCGCCCCGTGCTGAGGGTGTTCCGGGTCGGTGGTGTCGCTGGAAGCTTGGTAGTCTATGGAGACGGCATAGAGGACCAGGAGGCCTGTATGGACGAGGACCGCGAGAACAGGCGGGAAGACATGGAGCATGTACATGATTGATTTGACGAGCATGATGAACATGCTGAGAACGGCGATCACGACGTTGTAGTCGGTGATGCTATGATTGCAGTCAGTACGGTTGCGGTCGTATCGGGGGGGAGGCGGTTTTGCTCACAACTGCGACCAGACCCGTGGAGTCGTGTACGGTCTGTAGTTCGCCGCGGCGTACAAGCCCGTCGTTGGGCTCGAGTTGAAGCCATTGTCTGCGCCGTCTTGCCACAGCCTGGTACGGTACGTGTTTGGCGCTGCAATGCCGAAGAGCGCGAGCAGCGCAACTGTCAATGGCAGCTCAATGCCAAGCAAGACGTAGAAAGGCCATTTGTTGGGCTTCCATCGCCGGGAGAGGAAGAACTTGGGAGCTTTGGAGGTCTTCATGGTGGTGGAGGTTCGACGTGCTGGGAAGCCACAGGTCGTATGCGTCTGTCCGTGCGGTGAAAGTCGGTCCTTCAATGCTCTTGCATGTCTAGCCTCGCTGCCGTGAAGGTGCGTCGTCGATGAGAAGGGCCCGTCGATGCTTCAAGGACTGCAACTTCTCAATGGCACGGCATAAGAGACAGGAGAAAGTCTCAGAGACCGGCCAGGTCGTTGGAAATTCAGTCATGGTGAAGTCGCAGTTGGCACTTGTGCTTACATTCCTGCGGCGCTTACAGGTTCGAGATAGCGAATGAGGAGGGCAGAGCCAGTTCGGAATCACACCAATGAATGGTCTCGACCGCAGAAACCAACAGCCTGGGACCGATGGCAGGAGCGTGATTGGCGGCAATGAGGTGATAGACCTCGATAAGCTTCGTATCGCTGGGGCTAACTCGACTGGGAAAAGCCCAGGCCGCCATGCCCCTCAACTATGTGACTCCCGAAATAGTAGGGCGGTCATGGAATGAACGTGGGTCTTTCCGGGTGCAAAAATGATATCTTCGTGGGCATATGCACCTGGGCTGAGAGAATTGTCACCATTGTACGGAGTATTGCATGCGTCTCCTTGACACTTCTGTTGCATAGAAGCGGACACCGAGTATCATCGTCATTGAGGAACGAGTCAGCGTAGGTACGGTGGGAGAACTCGCGACGGCGGGATATGTATACATTGAGATTAATCATTCATACAGGACGTGCCTTCAAAACCTCATAGCTCCTGAGTCTTGTGCGGGATCGCGCAATGGTCGCTTTCAAAGTCTTGACTGCCTGTGAGATCTCTAATGGGCATTTTAATCAGGTGAAAATGTCCGTGCTCGTGTAGTGTGCGACCTGGGCTTCCCCAGAACCAGGTCGAGAGGTTCACAGCGATTTCTCAGCTCCGTCGGGACCCAGAAGCTAAGTAGCACACAATCCATTCAGCAGTCTCTCGAACGCCCGATACAGGATCAAGTCATTCAGCTTGCGAACACAGCTTGGGAGATGTCCTAGACTTGTGGCAAATGCGGAATGCTTTGTGCTAGAGAGGCACTGGGATCGCGCGTGTTGTATTACCTCGTAGAATCTACACAAGTGAGGGACAAATCCAGGCTTCTCCGCCTTCCCACACAGCTCACTGATAAACCTGTATGTCCGAATCTTCGCAATCAGAAACTCGAGGCGGCCAGCTGTTCAAAACGAAGCGGTCATCATTGCAACGTCTCGTCCACGCACTTCTAACGCTGATGGGATCTATACTCAGTGTAGTCCTGCGCACTTAGCACCGGAAGGTCGACGCACGTGCACGATGTCGATAGAATTTTCTACGCTAAGCATTCGTGACCGCGCTCGTGAGAGTCGTGCGAGGGTGGGCAGACAGCAGGAGTCGGCGGAAAGAAGAGCGTGGGTACGAGTACGTATACGGAGTGCGGTGTGGGCTACTGCTGGGTATGCCCCTGTACTTGTCCTTATCCGAAGGATTGATCGCCTGGGATTAGTCGGATGGCAGCAATGTAAGAAATCTGCCAGGTCTGTTTTGTTCTTGCCCCTTTTTGTCCGTCACCTTCTTCATTCAGTGCTCACCTCGCCTTTGGGGACAACATATCCGTCGACCAAGGCGGCAACTGCATGAGAATAGTATCAGAATGTTTCCGTCAACCGCGTGTGACGATAGCTCTGCAAGTCATCACCACGGGGTCGTCAAGCGAGCCTCTGGGAAAGACCCTTTCACCCCTTCTGGGCACCCTGGTCCTGGGTATTCGCAGCACGGCTCCGACCCTGGACGATCGGCAGCTCGGAAGAGTGGATGCCGTCCCAATGTGGCTAGCGTGGCGCCTTGGTCGTGTGGCCGGACGTTGGCGAACGTTGGCGGACGGCGGCCGGGGATTTTAACGTGCACAACGTGTTTGAGCTTGTCTCGCACCTTTCCTCATTGGGCCGCCCGAAACAGTCGGCGGCTCTCGTTCTTCGCTGTGCAACCTCAGCGCGCCCACTGTGACTGCGCTGCGCTGCCCTGCCCTCCCTTTGACTGTGTATCCACCAGTTCCAAGCATGCTCCGTCCTCGCCAGAGACACTCGCCTTCTTTTTTTCAGATGTCTTCCTTCACTCTTCTACGACGTGTTGAGTGTGGCCCCCCCAGCAGCTTGTTGCGTTGTATTTCCCTCCAAGTTGCCTGGGCGCCTCAAATCATCTCGACGGCAAACGCATCCCTTAGCCTGCGCATCCAATTTCCCCCAGCTCGATGGCCTTACGCTAGCAGGCTGCGCTCGATGATCTCTCGAATTGCCTGCGACAGACCCCACGCTCAACTGGGATAGTGCCGCGCGCAAAAGGAGCTCGTCACGACACCCCAGCACCTGGAAGCATCACCTCTTCGACTTGAGCGTCCTGTCGTTCTCTCCCTCGACCTTACCGCAGGCGACGACTACCCCATCCTGCCTGCAATGCGACCAGGCAGGATGCTCCGGCATGGCCTGGGTCTGCACAGACGAGGGCCCCAGGCGGGGGATGTGCTACCTTCTCGCATAGACAATCCAACAGCAAGTCTGCCGTCGTCGATAGGACCGACCGACGTCGCCACTGCAGACCCTTCGGCCACTGCCCCTATCGTCACCGCCGAGGCTGTCTCTGGTTTCACCACTATAACAGAAATACAGACACTGGCAAAGAGCACCGACACGGGCGAGACCACATTTACCACCGAAGTGACCAAGACCATTACCAACTCAGCTGAATATGCCTCGATCACGTCTGTGGCGGCAGCAGCCTCTTCTTCGTCTACCACTCGCACGACCACGTCGACCACGCCGGCTGCCGCAACGAGCAGTGCCGCAGCCAAGCAATCCAACTCGAATCTTTCCACACTCATCCCAGCTATTGTCGTCCCACTTGCGGTCATACTGTTGGCATCGTTGGCTGTGTTCTGGTTCTTCATGAGGCGGAGACATAGAAGGGAGTTGCAAAGCCAGCCAGAGTTTGTCATGACAGGCAAAGGAGAGAAGCTGAATAGCCGCTCTAGCAGTAGCAGGTCCACCACGTCGAACCCGGGGCCATCTGAGAAGAAATCACCCGTCGTTTTCCAGAATGAACTACCATCTGCTATATCACCGCCGACTACAACGTCAGAGTGGCCGCCCACTCAGGTTGGCGGCGTCCGACCACAGACACCCCAAGGACCGGGCTCTGCAGGACACGATCGGGTTCTTGAACAACAACGAACTTTAACGGCAAATTCCCCGTACAGAAACTTCAGGGGTCCAGGCCAAGGACTGCCAGTCCATGGTCCGCGACCGGCCACAGCTGGACGACCTGGACCACCTGCCTCGGGCAGAGATCAAGGCAGGAATAGAAACAGAAGTAATAGCACACCGGGGCAACGGGGTCAACCACCGCCGCCAAGATCAGGTCCTAGCCCAGTATCCAGAATAGCCCCGAGCCCAGTCCTTCGGAGTGGACCAAGCCCAGTACCGCTACAGACGAGCCCAACACATTCGCCTCTACCCTCGTCCTCGGCTTTTCGCTTCCGCGACCCTTCGCCCACCATGAACCTCAGCAACAGAGCACAGGCGCCCTCACGCCTGGCAGCCCCGCCACCTGGTGCCTTTAATGGTGCTTCTTCCATCTCTCAATACTCGCCTATCGTGAAAGACACTCCAACGATACCGAAGGTATTGGCAGGCAAGCGCGCACCGCCACCGATCAACACGGCCGATCTGCGTGAAACTACCAAATCACCGGGCTCTAATAGTCCAGCCGGCCATGGTCTCACGGAAGAGAACATGCGCATCGCGCGCCTAGCCAACTCTTCTCGCCTGGGACACACTCCGGCAGAGCCCAGTCCATCTCCCAAACTCCCTCCACCGGCCACTCGCTCACAACTAATACCCCGAGAGAGCCCGAAGGAACACCAAGACCGCTTTTTCGGCGGCAGCGGAAGCAGTCAGTCTGCGGGCCCGAAGACAGCTGCATCGAGCCACTACCCCTCCAAACGAGCCAGCGTTGTGTCAGATGCTGACGAGTATGAAGACATCGATGCCAAGTCAGACGTGAGCAGCTTGAACGAGTTTGAACGCTTCGACTTTGGCACGGGCATCGGCATTGGGAGCGGGAGAGGCAGCCCAGCCGGAAACTCCTTGACCTACTTTGCTGCAACCAACAGTCCGGCCAGTGAGAGAGGGAGCGCGTTTGGCACGACAGGCGTGCACGAACGCTGGTGATCTGCTGGAGATGTACCGCCTTCTTGTGGGACCCCGACCTTTCTTCCTTTTTTATCTCGTCATCTCATGACATTACGATCGTTCTTCTGCGGCATCTACGTTTGTCTTCTGAAAGCCTTGATGAGTTGTGCTGGCGCAGGAGCAGGGACATTTTGCGCTAAGCGACAGCATCTGAAAGATACCCATACTCGCCCCAGCTTCGACTGCGGAATGGGCTCAACATGTGAGAATAACCACTGTATATTTGGAGGGAGACTTATGCAATCTCCGACACATAATTGCTAAACAAACCCGGGGAAAGCGAGACACCGGGGTGAGGAGGTACACCGAGACGGCCTAATAACATTGATATGCTTGTGAGCAGAATAGCGGAATACAGGTATCAAATGTTGACTCCATGTTCTTCTATCCATGTAAAACTCCGTCATTTGCCTCCCCACTGCGTTGGGCGTAGCGAGAGCAGCAAGACCAGATAGACGGACGGCATGACACAGCTAGAACTTGCTTCTTCTTGCCCATCCTCTCTCACTTCCTCTGCCAACATGGTTGTTTGCACCGGCAGTGTGATACCCGGGGTCTAAGCACCTACAGCTTCTCCAGGACCTTCCGTCTTCGGTCCTCCGCCCGTCGGATCCTCGCCCGTCGTCCACGTACTGTGATCGCCAACTCCATCCCGTCAATCCCTTCCAGCGTGCCGTCCCCCTTCCTCGTTCAAAATCCAATGATAAAACCGGCCCTCGTCGAAATGGTCGTCAAAAACACCTCCAGTCCTTCCGCCTCACCCGCTGCGCGATAGATACAGTTGGAGCGAACGCACGCTCGCCGCTGCCGCCGCCGTCCCGGCGAGGACTCCTTTATAAGTGGGGGCTGGGGCTTCGATCTTGGGTCTTGGATGAGAGCGTCAAGCTGGTGGGAGTGACTTACGTCTAGGTTTCCTCCGACAGCCGCTGACTTGTGGTCCAAGAGTCCCGCTCGTTGGCAGGAAAATCAAGAAGGCTGTAGTCCGGATCTTCTTTACGTACTGTCTGTCCTGTCGGGCCATTCGATACCTCGTAAGGAAGAAAACGTCGTCTGTGCAGGCTGGCAATGTCCCTTCACGGAAGACATTTTTATAGCATCTTGAAGGTATCTGGGGATCTTCTAAGAGTCCCGCTGGTTGACCGGAAGTTAAGAAGTGTCTATCTTTGTTAGGTAAATATATAGTGCTAGTCTAGTATACCCTATTAGGCCATTCGACGCCTCGTGAGGAAGAAAACGTCTTCGGTGCAGGCTGGCAATGTCCCTTCACGAAAGACACGTTTATAGTATTTTAGAGGTATCTGGGGAATCCCCTAAATGCTTCGCGTCTTGAATAAAGGAGCAAGTATCAAGGCCAGGAAGGTACAATATCCAACGTGAATGCGTAGACATCAGTGTGGGGACCGATGGGGATTTGTGGAGGATAGTATCTCTTTCGCCTCTGCACTTCCTGCGTTGCTTGGGGTGCATTGGGAATCATTAGCGGATCGAGATTGTCGTGCAGAATGGAAACATATGTCTGGGGATATATCTTCGGGGAGCCCCCATGTGGTTGTGCCGAAGGGCAATTCGATCAGCACTGTTCCTTACCCACCACGCACAATGTCTCCATCTGGTAAACCTTTCTTGGGCCTGCAAGACTCAGCTCTGTCATGGGCCATCAGACACGCCGGAGTCGCTCAATCCGTGATGATTGCATGGAAATGCTTGACGGCACGGTGATCGACTTGAGAGAGCGCGATACTGGCAGGTTGAGGATGTGCGGGAGTGGAGGTTTCCGCACAGCAGCCAGAAATATAGCAGCAAAATCAAGGGTGGCTCGAGTAGAATTGATGGATTTTCTGATCCCTGGATAGTTTCACCATGACGAGGATAGCAAGAAGGCCATTATCTAGGACAGGTCCGATGCAACTAGCGCCCATTGTTTCGCACCTCCTATGGATGTTGATAAAGAGGAAACGTAGCTTGAGGTCAGTCTTCACAAGTCTGGGAGGAATCTGGCACTTGAGATTGCTGACTCTATCTTTCCCAGAGGCTGTGACGCCCAAGTGACAGGTGGTGAGCGAGTGGTGAGGTAGTGGTGAGGTTGAGGTGATTTATCGCGGCTCACTCTGCAAGGTATCGAATCCCATCAACACTGGCAACCCTGAGTCGACGCACTTGGCTGGCGACAATGCAAGGCTCCAATACAGAGAGATCGCCCTGATCGCAAAAGAGAACATGAGTCGAACCTCTTGTCTCCTGCGGTGGTCGCGCCGAGTCAGACAGGCTTGACGGAAGAGAACCGAAGCAGAGCAGGCCTGTTCCAATTGCAGAACCCTCCGCCGGAAAGGTACGCCTAAGAAGATGTTCCCGTCTTCTCTGAACTGAGAGTGATGAAGTTCATCTTTTCATCCAACAAAGGCTCCACGAAGCACATGCGATGCTGGGAGCGGCAGCAAGGGTGGGCTATGCGATCGGCATGCACAGGGAAACTCATGCTGGTGGACGCTCATGTCCTCAAGATCAATGGCTGGTGCGCCACACGGTGGTAAGTCTGGTGGATTTTAATCGCTTCTCAGACATGTACCACACTGACGTGCAACAGGTGTCTTTTCACGTACGAGACGTAAGTACCATGCGTCTCATAGCGGCCTTGACCCTTTCCTCTGGACACATCGCCGATTGACCTTCAATGCCTGGAACCGATGCAGCAATTCTCGTATCTGGCTTGGGACGCTTGAGAGTCGGGTTTGACAGCAATCACAGCTCAGGGTGGTATCCACATTTGCATTTTGAACTTTCTACATCAGAATAGGGCAGCTCTGAGCCCAACCCCGGGGATTCAAGAAGAAGCGTCGAATCCATTCCGCGACGAGTCCACGACCAGCATTGCTGCCACTCAGCCATCCGCTTTCGTACCACTCCCTCTCAAAACCAACATCATATACTGATGGGTCGCGGGATGGCACCAGGAGCTCTGACTCCAAGCCTTCATCCCCGCTAGCCGAGCCTCGAACATAAGAAGAGAGAGCAAGGAAAAGTACCTATACGAGCACCAACAGATAACCGACCTCTTCGAGTACGCCTATGTCCTTGATGTCTGTATGGCCAATCACCGTGCAGTCGAGAGGTGGACGAACCTGTTTACAGATGATTGTGTAACCATAAAGGCAAAGACGGGCAGGCGAACGTGGCCATGAATGCAGAGACGAGGTTCTTTCGAATGCTGGTGAGCTCCATCGTCCGACAAGGCGACGACCCGGAGAAGGCGTGTCGGTCAGGAGAGTGCACATGTCGGATCAATACCCCAGCATGCTACCTCAAACTTCACCATAACATTCAATCCTTGTTCGGATAATGTCGCATATGCCCTCAGCACAGCACTCAACGCCGTCTGCGGCATCGACGAGCCCGACTTCGGCAAGACATTCCAAGAAGGCGGCTGCTACTACTGTTGGGGTTGCCGCCGGGATGAAGGCGAAGGTAGCAAATGGAAGATCTCGTAGTTGTTTCCATATTAATCTGGACGCGATTGAACTGGACGAGCGGCGGTTCTTTAGGGCTCAACGGACCCAGAGCTGCAGACCAGGAGCCCTGAGTGTGACTTCGTCCGAAGCACGAAGGAGCCGCCGTCTTAGAGTTGCTTGCTCAAATCAAATACAAATCGACTGTCTACTGCTGAGACACGGAGAACCGCCTTGCCACGAATACGAGGTATCTTCTGTGCAGGCAGTAAAAGCAGTCGAGTACGGAGTACGCATGTGGTCTTGCAGCTTGCAGAGGGTATCGATTCTATCTCTCATCTCAGCGCATCTCGTCTCGTCTCGTAGAGTTTCCTTTCCCGTTTCACAGTCAGATGTGGCAGTATCCAGCAGATGCATTCCCGTCCACGCCACGCCATATCACAAGCATATCCATATGATATTCATTTCCATTTCCTTTCCGTTTCCAATTGCAGATCGAAACCAATGCCAATGCCAATGCCAATGCCAATGCCAGATCAAAATCAAAATCCATATACCGATCATGCATGCATGCTCGCTTGTGTTTGTTCGTACCGATACTCCCTTCCAACACCAAGATCCATCCCATCCATCCCGTCCATCATTCGTTCGTTCCTCGTTAGAGTTTTTTTTTTTTTTCATTTCATCCATCGTTCTTGATTTTCTTTCATATTTCACAGCACAGACATCTCACTCTGGTCTGCTCTGTACAGTACGGTCTTGATTCCTCACTGTCGTCCCTCTCGCTCTCCAATTCTTGACGCTCCACCCTTGACTCTCACCTCTCACTCGTCTGTCGTCTTCACTCCTCACTCCCCGCGGCAGGAAAGGCATGGCTGAACAAATGCCGCCGATGTCTCGACAGATGCGTCTTGAACGCCTCCGCCACGGGGACATCGCCGAGGAGCACTCCTTCCTCATGCTCTTCTTGCTCTTCCTGCTCTTCTTCCTTTCTCTGCTCAGACACGGCCACGAACCTCGGCTCGATCGTCCCGTCGCGTCGCGCTTGCCCACTATCCTCGCGCTGGCTTAGATGGGCGTGCTCGTGCAGGTGCGCGTGAGCATAAGTGCGACGCGGACGGGCATGGGCGTCGGCATGGGAATGGGGATGGAAATCTTCCTCGCCCAGCGCAGTCACGGTCATGTATGTGTCCTTGTCCTTGGCCGTGTCGGTTCCGGTATCGGTACCAACTTCTGTATCGTCAGTCGTATCCACGGAAGCTGAATCCGTCACCAGCGGGAGGGGAGGCCCGACCGTCGCGGTGGGAGTTCTCGCGTCAAGAGTCGCGGATCCTGTCGCGGACGGGACGGCTACAAAGTTCGCGCCCCAGGTGCCGAAGGTGCGTGTGTGCCGGCCGCCGCCTCCGCCACCACCACCGCCGTACGAGAAGGAACTCGTAGTAGTGGGAGCGCCAGGCGCGGGGATGACGGGTGGAACTCCCGACGGCGGCGGGGCGGGGAATGGCAGCGACACGGACGCCGACACGGTGACGCCAGGGCCCGGGATGCCGGGAATGGGCGGAGAAGGTGGCCCCTCGGCGCCTCCCGTCGATTGGAATACCTTGAGCGAATTGACGGTCCAAAAGGCATCCTGGAAGGCCGAGGGGTTGTTCTGCACGAAAGCCTCGCACGTCGGGGCCTTGGAGCTGCACACGGGGTCCGACGTCCACACGTTGCCGGCCCAGTCGCCGCAGAAGGTGGTGTCAAAGACGATCTGGTGGTCGTTGAAGAACTCGTCAATGTCGCATCCCGAGTTGTCGAACGACGCCATCGGCTGGCCCCAACCGCTCGGGTCCGGAGTGGCACTGGCGCTGGAGAGGTCCGAGGGGATGGCACCGCGGGGGAAGAACCAGATGTTAATGGCCTGCGAGGTCCACTCGGTCGCGTAGACGCCTCCTTGGCCCTGGTTGAAGCCCGTGCCGTAGCTTTGGTCGTTGGGCGTCAGGATCGCGCAGCCCGCGTTGCCCGGCTGGCCCGCGGCTTTGACGTCGCAGTTGGGCGTCGACACTCGGCCGGAGAAGAGGCCGTTGTTGGCCACACTGCAGCCCGGCCCCGTGTGCAGGGCCATGGAGTTGGCGACCTGCGAATTCACGCCCTCGATGATGTCGATTTCCCCCGCGTTGGGCCAGTTGGGTCCCACGGTCCAGAAGGCGGGCCACGTGCCGCAGATGCCGCCAGGCATGTGTGCCAGGTCGAGCACGATGAGGCCGTGCGTGTAGGATTTCTTGCTCGTGAGCCGGACGCTCTGTCTGCCCGAGCCCGAGGCCACGTTGGAGTGCTCGACGCCCATGTATATGGCGCCGTTGTTGTTGTTGATGAGGCCGCCTTGCTGGGCGGTGCTTTGGTCCACATATTGGACGTAGCCGTTCGTTGGATCCGGGTCCTGTCATTCCGCTCGTTAGCTTTTGAAAGTAAACCAAAAAAAACGGGGGATACGTACGGTAAAAAAGTCGAACATGGAAAAGAACTGATCGGCGCTGTAGTCGTCTTGGAGCACGTATCCAGCCGTGCTCGAAGAGACCAACAGGCCTAGTCCCACCAGGGTGACCAGAATCGAAGAAGCCCACATGTTCATACTCGATGACAATGAAGGGTGCTGATGATGTTGATATGCTAAAGGATTGACTGAAGAAAGGAGCGGCCGCTGCAGATATGCAAACTTCACAAAGGAGTGGACGCACAATATGCTGGGCTGAAGAAACAAAGACGAACAAAAAAGCAACAAGACGAATGACCCGTTCACGAGAGAGAAAGGACAGACCCTCCTTGACGATGGGCACAAGCGCGAAATATGTATATGTGAGGAGGAGGGGTCATGGGAGGCATAGGGGTAGGGGCGAGGCTGGTCCAGATCGGTGTGCTTGGGGTGGGGCCCATCACCACCTGTCGATACTGGGTACGCGCGGAAAGATGCACAGTTGCCTTAGCTGCCGGGCAGATCGAACGGCCTCGCGGATTGGGCACGTTCAGCCTTTCAACGGGCCGAGCGTGCAGCTAAGGGGGAGTTCCTCGAGCGTGCGTGTGCGCGTGCGGGTCAGCAGGACGATGTGCAGTACCGGCACGTACCAGGTACCTCGCCAGACCAAGGCCATGCAAGCACTATGATGCCGGTGGCAAAGAGGGTCTGAACACCATGAATGGCTGTGCAAACGCTGATTAAGGAGGAAAAGGCACAGGGCTGCACTGAGCGGCGTCCGTGATCAAGCCTGGAGAGGGGGGGTACATGGGCGAATCGTGAGGGTCAAAATACCATGAAACCGTGGCCGCAGATGTAGTCGGATGTCTTCGCGACTGCACTCGGCACAGATGAAACGCCGCGAGGCGGGAGCTAGGACTGATAAGTCTGATAGGCAGTCAGCATTGACCACCGCCGCCCGCCCAGATGTGCGTGCGTGGGTTGATCGAACGGGGACGAGCGATGGAGTCGTGACTCGTGGCGACGACGAAGACAAGAAAAGGAGACGGCGCGGCGGAGCCAATGGCGCGTCTAAGCGTCTGGCAGGAACCAATCGGAGGCCGTCAATGGGATGGTCACGTGCGAGGCTGGATTCCTCGCGTCCGCTTCGAAACATTCCGTGTATCAGGCGGATGGGGCCCTTTCAGTGGACTCGGTAAGGGGCACGAGGGGCAATGCATTCCCCAGCACGCAAGAAACGGCATCTCCAGTACTGTGCACACAGTGCTCTTGAATGTGCGCGTTACCCGGCTATACACACGCTGGGCAGACTAGCTGAGGAACACCATCCTCGCTTGGTGCCTGTCCCACGCATTTCTGGTGGTACACATGCCGGCACGAGAAAACGACGAGTGGACCGATGTCTTCTCGCAGAGCATTGGATCCTCCCGGGCTTTCGGCTTCGAGTGCCTCCTGCGAGCTCACACCGACCGTGGCTTTGCCCTTTCCACGAGCGCCATCCTCTTCCCCGGTAGGATCGCCTTGGTGAATGCGTCGACGTCGATCAAGTCTAGCTTCTTCCTTCTTCTGCCATTGTTCCCACACCCTTTCTCCAATCCCAGGACCCCAGATCCGCCGGCGACAAACTTCGCATACCTGGCCTCGAGGTCTCCAACCCCGCAGTCGGAGACGCGTCACTTCGTCCAGGTGGACGAATACATCTTTGTCCAGCATAGCATTCGACAGGGCCAAGAGTGACTCCTCATATGCATATGCTGAGAAGATCGAACTGATGACATTCCGCAACTCCGACAATGAAGGGCTGGTTTCGGCAGCCTGAGACAGGAATGCCCGTAAAATGCGCAAGAACATCATATCCCTACCGGCCGCAGCGTCACGCACTGATGCGGTACTGGCCAGGAGAGCTGTAAAGATCTGCTGGATCACAGTTCGCAATACAGTTATGATCTCGACATCTCGGTCGCCTTGCCCAGTCGTGGCGTCTAGCACTCCCCGGACCGAACAATCTCGGGCAATGCTCACAACGCAGAGAATGAGTTCGAGCCAAAGATTTTCCTCAAAAGACAACGCCCGTGTTGCACTGGCCGTCCTTCTTGGTGACTTGGAGACAGTGGGCGTCTTAGGAGCGTTCTTCATCTGGCCCTGACAGAGCCAGATGCCCACCCGCGCGTACTTCTCTAATGCCTCGAGGACACCGGTGCTGGGATGGCGGACCGAGGCACCGTCTCCCTGCGCAACAAACTCGGTCTTCAAGCTCTTGAGCGTGGAGCCTAGGAAGAACAAATGTTTGGTCAAACGGTCCATTGCTTCCTTAACATGGCCTTGCCGAAGTTGCAAGATCACAACAGCATCGATGATGCCGCTATCCTCAATCGTGGGGAGCACCTCGGCAAGCCGAATGTCGCCTTCCTTAATGCTTTCCACATAGTCTCTGACATGCGAGGGGTCAAATTGGCACAAAAGGCGCACATATAATTCCAAGAGCGCGTGGCCATAGGTGCGGCGACCACGAAGCTTGTCTTCCGGCTCAAGGATCGTCCGAAGATACTCGTACTGCGCAAAAGCATCATCAGCCAACACCTGTATGAAGATGTGATGCATGTCCGGCGCAACCTCATCAATGGTAGCAGCACTTCTTCGGACATCCATCGCGACGAGGTCAAAGGCATGCTGCCGCACCGTCTCTCGGACATCCTTCCGCTGTTGTTCGGTCAAGGGCGACTCGGCTCGCAGACACTCGATAACTGTAGGGAATACACTTTCCTGGTCCTCGCTGTCAAGAAAGAATGTGGATATCATGTCGGAGTATTGGCGCTCCTGCTTAAACGCAGCCTTCAGCACCCGGTAAAACCTGGCTTGTCGGAGCAGAGGGACGAACTCTAGTACGTTTGGCGGCTGATAGATTGAGAGAAGGTATTCTACGCTGAGCTGAGCATCTTCGCGCATGTCGTCCTCCGGGTAGTGGCAGAGTCGACCGAAGATTTCTTGCAGTATGGTCCCGGACAGAACCAGATACTGTGGATACTTGGCCAGATTGCGAGCGATGAACATATCCAGGTAGATGGAGTCGTCGGAGTCGAAGTTGGCCGACATGATTTCCAGCAGAATCCGAACCACATATTGGCGAGTGTAGGTCCGCGATGCCGAAGCTTGGCTGATATTGAGGCTGTTCGGCGAGTCGTCGTCTACGGCATTCAGATAGCTATCTTCGAAAGCCTCGTTCATGGCTGCGATGAAGCTGGCGGTGTCGAAGCGGAGAACGCAAGCGAGGTTCCCGAACGAGGTTGCGGCCTTCAAGCTAACGTCGTTTCTCCTCGTGGAAGTCCCATTCGCGCTTGAGCCTCCAGAAAAGAAGAAGTCGTAAACCTGGCCTTTTGCACTGGCCGCTTCATCATCGTCCATCGTATTCCCAGTGGGATACACTCGACCTGTCAGGATAAAGGAGACGTACGGGAAAATTTTCTGAGCCAGAGCATATCTATCAGCGACGCCGACTGTCTGTTGGCGGAGACCTTCTTCGCCGTCGGCAAAATCGAGGAGGATCGTCAAAGGCGTAGTATAGTCGTGGAGAGCCTTCGTCCAGACATAGATATAGGCATCATACAGGCCATATCGTTTGCAGAGACTCGTCACTTGATCAATGTCCATGGTTGAAGTATCGAGCATGCAAATGATCTCCTCCAGGACTGCCGGTGTATGTGTCTGAGTAAAATGGTTGATCAGAGTCTTCAGAGCGGGCGGGGGCACTGATGTAATCCTTTGGTCCAGGATATACGGCTCCAAGACGTCGACGAACAAAGGTCCCTGCTCATGCTCATCATACCACGAAAAGACTTCCTCGAAAAGGAAGTCCTGATCCTCCATGACGAGACATGCTTTGATACAAGCATCAGCAAGCTCGACCATCTGGAGCTTCTCGATCTGATCGTTGCCGGCCTGTTGGTTCTTCCCGAAGGCATACTTCAAAGACGCAGTCATCATCTCGACCAGCTTTTCTCTAACTATACTCGCGCGCATATTGTCATCTTCGGGGAGTCCAATCGTCGCCCTCTCCCCTTCGCCCTGGTAATATTTCGCTGCGAGTCGAATGGCACCGATAAAGTCGCCTATATTGATCATGGCCAAAAGTCGGTCGGCCCAATTTGTCAGGACTCCTGTCCAGATATCATTTACGCCAAGCAGGAACAACCGCCCCTTGTAAGCTCGGAAACTCATATGGAATGCGTCGGCGACAACCCCGTGCATCGAGGTGTCCTCTTCGTCCAGTTGTTCGATGATGGCTCTAAGTTGTTGTGAATAGAGGTCTGCATGATAGACGTTCTTTTTCAGCAGATCGAAAGCTTCTGTAACATGCATGGTCAAATCTTCGATGATCAGTAGTTGTTGGGTGATGGTGAGGACGGCTAAGACTGATTTGTTCAACCACTGTACGGCAACGATGGCTTCCTGCGCCTGGTAGCGGCTCCTGGCCAGAAACTGCAGCTCGGGCGGTTTGTCCTTTCCAGCCTCGTCCTCGCCCTGCATCTCGTGCACTTCCAAAACGGTAAGGATGTTCGACCAGGCATACACAAGCTTCGTCCTTGAGATCTCGGACTGTTCGGACTTCAACTTTATGGCTGGAAACCATGCCAATGCGGCAGTCATGGCGCTGTGAGCCGCTACCTCTTTTGGACGAGCGGCTTTATGTTGGGTCTGAGCCACGGGTGTAGTCGAGACAATGACGAGCAAGTAAGGGGTCAGCATGGCCACTAACCCCAGGCTGTCTGTCCCCTGCTCTATGTTGCCGAGCGGTAGGGGCGAAAAGGCCAAGACTGAGCTCTTCTTCTGAGGCCGGGAGTTCCGCGAGACCACTTCCGGGTAGCGCCCTAGGATTCGAGTAGTGCGAACCACGCGGCTGACCGCGCCCATGCCTCGAGTTGCCAGGTGAGAGAAGGCCATGCCCTTATCATCGGCAGAAACAAGGGCGGTATGCCTGTAGCCGAGGAATCCGATGTGCAGCACAGTACTTCCTACAATATGGCCGTCACCGCGTCTGGCTTGAGGTTGAGAAATGTCCATTGGCTGGATGTGGAGGAACGGTCGAGAAGGTCTGCCTACTTCCCACGTGAAGATGTGCCCGGTCGCATGCCCAACGGCGATCGTAGTATGGTCTGCAGATATCGCGAGAGCTGTGACCGGTCCGCTCTCGGCAGCTTTTGTGCCACTCCCAATAATGGCCTTATGATTCTGGTGATGGTCGAAGACGAGAACCACGCCTTTGGACGTCCCCAACACCAGCTGATCTGCCACAGCCAGACATGTTGGGCTTCCGAAATTTCTTCTGCCGATCTCAGAGAACGCCTGGCCGGTGATCTTCTTGAACTTGTTCCACCTGATAACATCCCATGGGTTTATGCCTTCGTCAGGTTCGGACGGTGTCTGTAGTCCTAGACTGGCGGCGGAGGAGTGGCGCGAGTGCGCTCCGAGGAAGGCGGGCGAGGCGGATCGTAGGGGAGAGAGCTGGGAGCTCGACAGGCGAGACTGGAACCGGATGTCAAAGGGACGGTGCGGAACTGATGGGCTGCCTCGTCGGGCGGGACTGCGGATCGAGCCAGCATCGCTCAATGAAGATGACAGTATCGAGCCTTGTCTGGATGGCGTGTCATCCGGTGTTGACAACGCGTCATCATTGCTCAGGACGTTTGTCGTCCCGTTGACTGGACTCCCATCATCTACTCTATCGGGATCTGGCAATTCCTCCTCGTCGTCAATTGTATCGCGTCCATCCCCGACTTCGTCACCGGAGGCTTCAACGCCTACCACCTCTTGTGTCTGCAGTTCAGGCGTGATCTCGGGCACATCTCCGTCGTCGTGAATAGTAGAGTTCCTGCCATCCGCGCTCTCGCTAAGGGTTTCGTCCTGGTTGCGCAGGAAGCTCTCGCCCTCATCTGGGGTCGAGTTCATCGATGTATCGTCAACGCAGTCATCGCTTCGTAGACCGCGTCATGAGAGCAGAACGTCCCGTATCTCTGCACGTTATTACGGACCCAGAAACGACTCGTAGGCAGATATCAATATCAAGGTGATGGTCGTAGTGAGGGCGGGGTGCTCCTGGAAGCAAATATGATTTGGTAACTGGAGGGGGTTGCAGAGAGAATGGTGTTCTTGACTGCTAGGACAACACAAGACGTGGACGGCGAGGCCAGAACGACTGAGTACGTGTGTGCTACCGATGTGGCTCATGGAATGCTTGCGCAACCACCAACCGACCTACAACGCGCCGGTGATTCTCCAAGTGGAGCACTTCGCAAAGCACCAGATGCTCCGCTCTACACACGTACGGAAAGGCATATGTACGTGCCTGTACAGATCGTGGTGCTCGCCACGCCTCACCTGGCTCTGGCTTCCCCTCCACGCCCTCACGAGCTGTCTCAAGCTGGCATGAACTACTTTTGCACTTAGTGCCAGTCACATGTGTTGACCACTCGCACATGGCTAGTCAGGCTCCTAGTCGCCAATATCGAGCGGTTTCCTCTAGTCTGGAGTCTCTTGTATTGTGGTATTGCCCATTGTCCCCTAATGCGCCCATTTGCGCCCAGCGGCTCGAAATGAGCTCTTGGTATGGAGTATCCTTGGGGTCTCATGCCTCGGTAACGACAAGTCCAGCCGATACAGGATGCAGCCATCACTGTTATGGCGGTCGTCCGGGAACCTGTGCCGCTTCCGAGCTCATCTGAAGCTCGGTACCACTGTTGCGGCATGTCTTTCTCTGTACAGGGAGTATCACCACTCAGCCTGATCGCCAGGCCGTAACCCTCTCCACCCTGCAGTAGCAGCGACACGGACTTTTTGACGCCATGAGGTAGGATGGGTTCACAACGTCTGTTGCGGTGGTGCTTCAGAAGCGGCAGACTCCTGTTATAACCGTCCCATCGCAATGTGACGCTACCTGCAGTGCGTTCACCTTTTCACTGGTACGTGAGTAGGCTTTTATTGACGCGGCCCAACAGACAATGCATCAATAATCGCTCAGACGGTTGGACAGGTCGCCAGCGAGCTCTGTGCTATCGATGGGGAGTTTGTGAGCGCACTGAATACGTGTCAAACATGCATAGATCTCTACCAAGGCATCAGCACGACAAACTCCACCTTCCCTATCCTAGACTTCTACGTGAACTTTTGTGAAGAGCAAGGAGTCGCAGATCCTACTGCTTCCGTTGATCCTGGGCAGGTACCGTTGTATACGGCGTCTGTTGGCTCTTCCTATGCATGGTGCGCCGGGTATCTCTTAGTCTCGAGCAGCACCGCATCCAACTGTTCAATATCCAACCGTAAGGAAACCATGAGTCGCGTGGGGGGAACAAAGCTGATACGTGCAGCGCCAACAATCTCCATTACTATCGCGTCGACCCCCTCGATCGCCCTGTCGAGCAACAGCACAGCTCCGTCGACGAACACCAGTACTACCGCCACTCCCCCTGCAGCGACGTCCTTACAGTCCGACTCAACGTCGAGTTCGGCGGCGGCTCCAGTGCCCGGGGCAGATCATTCAAGCACGGCCGCAATAGCCGGCGGTGTTGTAGGAGGAGTGGGAGGTGCAGCGGCGATAATCATAGTCGTATGGTTTCTGCTCCGAAGACGCCGCAGAAAGCCAGCCGCAATGGAAGACGACCAAGCGGCCCACGAGAAGGCACAACTCCATTCGGACGACATAAAGCCCGAGCGCAAGGAGCCGGAAGGCACAAGAGCTTCTCAGGCCTTGTTGGAGAAGAGGCCGACCGATATCTCGGAGTTTCCTGCAAACGAACAAGGAATCGACAATGCTAGACTAAAAGAGATGCCGTCGAACGAGCCCGCAGGCCACGAAATGGGGACCACCGAGAATGAAATCGTCGCGTGGGATAGGATGGCGAGGATGGCTGACTCGACCACCCTGGGTAGAGGTAATACCAGGAGAGAGGGCCCCTCAGCTTCGTGAGGCTCGCTTTCAGAATTGAACCATGAATCAGGCTTGAACCATTACGTACCTCGTACCTGCGTCGTGAGGCATTTCTTGTGTGATGCCGGCTGGTTCGTCTTTGAACTCTCTGCTTGCTTAAAAGGCTGACGCGCCGAGCCAGGACACCGGGTCCTTCTGCGTAACTGTCATGGTTCCAATACGAAGAGCCGAGTCGAGAACTTCCAATTCTCAGGGCCTCAAGACTTTGCCACTGCATATTCGCGACACAAGAACTGCACAACAGAAGTAGACATAATGCGCTGAAGTGAAATCTAGTCTATCAACATTCGCTACATCTTGGTAGTGTGTCGAAGGTATCTGTAAGGGAAGTTGAAGTCCACCATCAACTCCGTATTCATCATCATGCATCATGTGGGGCGCGGTATATATAGCAGACCGGGGCTTTCTGCCTCCTGCACCTGGTCGGTGCCGTTGAAACGTCGGTTGATCCCGCGACCCCAAGAGATGGCTGCTCAAAAGCCATCAAAGCCCCTTTCCCTGTGCCCAGCACTCTCTCCTGCATCTGTGCAAGTGCTTCGCGCCCTCGCCCGAGGGCCTTTGCTCCAAACGCTGCTGTGCGCCCAATCGTCCAACCTCATCATCTGATTCTCAAATGGATCACAGGCTGCCTCTCCTCGGGAATGCGACGCCTTGGACGGCTGCATCGTCCGTGAACCAGCTGACTTTGTCCGCAGCGCCCTCGTTCACAAGTCCACAGGGCAGCGTCCGTCCTTCGTCATCTGCCTCCAGGATCTTTTTCAGAATATCCTTCTTTCCACCGCCTGTGGCAACGAATGCGATCTTATGCGCATGCGTAACAACAGGCAGAGTCAAGGTAATCCGTCTTGGTGGAGGTTTTGGACTGTCTTCAATGGCTGCAACCCAGGCATCCGTCTCGCGCAGCAATTTGTGGCCAGGGAAGAGACTGCAGGTGTGCCCGTCGGGCCCACAGCCCAACAGGATGAGATCAAAGACGGGCACTCGCACCGAGTCCTTACTGGCGAAACTAGAGGTGAGCAGTTCTTGATACTGATCTGCCAGCTCCTGTGTGTTATCCAGTTGTTCCACATTGATAGGATGAACTGTTGGAGTGCCTTGCTCTTTCGGAATCTTCTCGAGTAGATCTCTCTTCAACAACCCGTAATTGCTATCCTCATGATCGAGAGGCACGGCGCGTTCGTCTGCGAAGAAGATCTCCCACTTTGAAAATTGTGGGGCCCCGGCAGGATCCTCACCTTCGCCGGCGTTCAGGAGTGCCTTTGCCAGGGTAGCGGGGAGGCTGCCACCGGAGACGGCGATCTTGAAGGCATCATGTCGCTGAAATGCGGCTTTCTGGGCGTGGAGGATGTAGATGCGCAGATGGGCTGCGACTTCATCGACTGTGGGGTAGCTGAAGAGGTTGGGTTGCTTGCCCATCTTGACGGACTCTGTCGCTTGTTCTCAATCAAGTGTGCGGTTCGACTTTTCGCGGCTGACAACGCTCGGGTATGGCCGGTACTCTTCGTTTCTCGGGCAGCGTCGTGGTGTGGTCGTCGGACGTTGGATAATGGAGAAGATTAGCCGTGTGCGATACAGGATCGACTCGTATCAGATGCGAAGTGGTGGAGCTCGTTGTTCGGGCCGGAATATTGATGACGCACCGCTTGCCGAGTCCGATCAGGAATGGCGGCTCGGTAACCTCAATAGAAGGTGTGGTGGGAGGAATGGACCGTCTACGGATCAGATGAAGTTGAAGAAAGAGAAGCACTACGAGTACGAGTTAGAGATCCGTTGAAATTGAGATCCGAGTTTCAGTTCAATGTGGCTAACACAGATAGACAACTGTCGCAGGTCTGCATTGCCGATCAACAGAACGTGGCTGAAAAGAGTCCAGTTGAGGCTGACGTCACGACAGTCTGTCTGACACGATATTTCCACGGCAAGCAGAGTACTGGAACAAATTTCCACTACCTGATACCAGAATATGGTGCCTGTCTGACACCTCAGCGGTGAAGCTTGACGGAGAAAAACCAAGGGTCTTCCACCTGACGAGTAAGCCGAGTGCTGACTTGGCTCTAGCAGGATGACTCAGCCGCGATCATCGTACCACCCGTACCCAGTACTGTGGTACGAGTACGCTGTCTCTGCTCGAATATCAAGAGTATTGCCACACAACTCCTCTCACACCACCAGAGTCCGGATTGTTGTCGCCAGCGGTAGCGGCACTTCCTGTGGCAATGAAGTTTCTCTCCATGGCCAGAAGCAGCAAGTTCAACCTTAGAGCGGAAGTTGCGGATCAGTTGTGTTGTTCCATAAGGTCTAGAATGCCTAGAGCGCTGTAAACGTCCTCGCTGATGGAGGAGGATCGGGAACACACGGAAGTTATTTGCGCTCCAGCTGCGTCGCTTGAGTTGCCGGACTGTGTGCCAAGTACTCGCACGATGAGAATTGAGTACCTAGGTACTCCGTACTTGCTGGTTACTCGCACATTCTGAACACGTGGGGATCTTCGACCTCCACGCGCGGGTCCAGTTTGACAGCTCAGTCGCACTGGAACAATTTCCGTCGGCTTACGAAAAGCCATCCGAAAGCCTATCGGTCACCCGTCATTGCCGAGGAGTTGTGGCTAGAGCGAATGATCAGAGATCGATGACGAAGCTAACACGGATGTTTTAGCCTGGCGAGCCCCAGGCCTGGGAAAGCAGGTCACGCTGTGGCGCAGGCCAATGGGACGCGCTGGAACAACTCCTTCGCGCAGATCCCAACGGCGAGCCAAGCCGAATGCAGAACAGTCAGTTCCCAAAACGCGATGATTGGGGGGACAGAGGAGACAGAGGGGCGCGAAATTCCGGGCGATCGTGCTGGAGCCTCTGCTTGGGCTGCGCCGCGCGTAGATTTGCGGTCCGAGATCGAACTCGATGCTGGCCATCGACATTGCACATTCCGCTGATTGGAACCATGCTATTTTCTTTCCCTCGACGAGCCGCGACATCGCGATTCTGTCTCTGCTCACGGCCACTTTTCTGCTTCGCCTTGGTTTGCCGTCATTTCCAGTGTTTCATCGTCCCGTCCATGCTCCCATCACCCCGTCCGGCGACACCATATCTCGTCTCTGCCCTCCACTTTCCCCTCCGAGGCCGCTTGCTTTGCTTTCCTTTTCTGCATCTCCATAGCACATACAAATTGCCATATTCAGTACACCGCCCTCCTGACTAACAGCCTCGTTGACATAGTACAACATCTCTGCTTATTCTCCCAAGCTATCCTTCTCCAGCAACTCAAGCCACACAACTCCCCTCCTGCAGCCCGCCGTATGGCCATGGCGTCGACACCGTCGGTCTTGCAGCTTCAGACGCACGCCGCCAGCGGTGCCACCAGGGGCAACCCCATGTCCAAAGCCGGTAAAAGCGATGACAGCATCAATACACTCTCGTCAAGCCGATCCGTTTCTCCAAAGTCATCCTTGGACATCGTGCGCTGCTCGCGGTGTCAACGGTCCTTGAGCATTGATACCTCGATGCCTGCACACCACAGTGGTGCGGTCAAGTTTGCAATGAACTCATACTACTGCACGAGATGTGCAAACGTCGTGGGATTTGTCAAATGAACCCTGTCCAAGGCAACACCAAATTCACATACCGCCCCCTGCAGATTACAATCCGCCCAGCTCCTTCCGGAGTCCCCAATACATTCAGACCTCGGTACCAAACATTCAACACGCTTGTGACGTGCGATCATCGAGACCCAAAGGAGCAGATCCGAGAACAAAGGCCATCTCGTACTACGTGGGATCCAGCACACGGAGGAATACAATGCAGTCCAATTGGGCATGACTCAGAAAGATGGGGAATCCGTGCTTTCATAGAGGCAGACAAGGGGGAGGACGCGCCACGGTGCGACGAGGACGACCGCCATCCACGAGTCAGAACCAGCAAGACGGAAGACAAGTCTGTCGGGTGATTTTCGGATGCCATATAACTCTGGCGGGGTTTTGACATGATGGGAGCCTGCAAGGTCGTGTTTATTTTCTTGAGCATATTTTCTAGGGCATGAGATTGCATTTAGCATGCAGGTACACGCCGGGGTCAGTGCTGAAGCATGTTTTCTGTTGGGCTGAGGGTGCATATATCATCTACTTGCATATCCATTGAGCATGCAATTTACGAGCCATCTAGGCCTGTTATCAAGAGTGCTACGTGATTCTCTATTGTTCTCTGAGGAACGGTCTGGCGTCTGTACAGAGTGAATCCCATGCCTGATGCAACCGCGACCGCGACAGACTACAGGCGACAGGCGGCATGACCACCACAAGTCTTTGCGTCAGATTATGTTGCGCAGCTGCAAGCCGGGCCAACCTGCTCGAGCGGAGGATATTGTGATTGTTTGGTTTAGGAAATTCCCAGCTCCGATCCATGGACGATCGCTCCAAAGCGACAGCTCCCCTCCCCTCACGGTAGACGAATCACTCGAAGGCTCAGTTCCATGGCCTACGACAGCAACGGAAAGCAGCCTCTCCCCATTCGTTGTACGATGGGCGTCCCCGAGTAGCACAGCAACAGCGCCAGCTGAGATCTCGATGACAGTTCCAGCGGCTCGGTTGAACACTCCCGAATCTTGAAGCAAATGCGCGAGCCCGAATTCTCCATTTCTGTTGTACCACCGGGGAAGGACAGCAGTGCAGGACTAGTATCACCGTGTCCATGCAAGATGGCGCAACATGGCTTGCCATTCCCAGGCCAGCAGCTTCGAAACTGACCACCGTTCAGCAATCAATCTGGACGCCACCTCACAGCCGCAGCTCGGCGGAAGTGCCAGAATCTCGTGTTTGTTCGGTGCTCGCAGGGTCCCTCGATTGGTGGCCATGGGTACGAGCAGGCGCTCCGTTCTGGCGTAGTGGTGTCTCTGGTACCGAAGTTGTTCGGGTGTCACAAGCTGTACCGAGATTCCAGCATGCCAGCTGACCTGGGTGCCTGGCCACGCCACCAATCGCTCCTCATGGGACCGGGCACGGATTGAACACAAACACACAGGGAACGTGTTTGTCTGAGCACGAAGATGCGCAGGAAGAGGCCGTGGCATTACACTGTCTCCCATCGGAGGCTTCCTGACGCTCCGTCTCCTTCTAGTGCGGCCCAGTGAAGAAGCGAAGAGAGAAAGAGGCTGGGGGTTGGACTGACATGCTCTTCCTCATGTTCGATCGGATCCATCCTGGACCCGAGGGGGATGGACACGATCGCACCAACAGGGGCCTAATCTGTGCTTCTCGTGGACAGATCTGGAGATTGGTATCTACACTGTCCTCAGCTCCTCTGGAGCCAGCCCGCGGCTGTCTCCCGTATCCGAATGAACAATGGCGAGTGTGAGCCACCCCTATGCCGAAACCTCATAAGCGCTCTTGATCCCAGTCGGCCACAGACACTGTCTCGATTTGCAGCAGGACGTTCCTTACGTCAGGTCTGCTGCCTATATTTCCAGCCTTTCTAAACCACCATTCCCCGTTGACAGCCCAAGGGGCCTCTCCACATGGGTGTCAATTCCGCGGCATTGTGACTGGCTCTCAAGGGCCTGGCAAGCCGGCGCTGGCTAGGTCTTGCATCTACTATCATTGGCGCGACGTTCTCGCCTTGCCAAAATGAGGCTGCAGGGATCGTGGTTCCGATGGTCTGCTCGAACGTTGAACAAGGATAACCCGAACTCTGTCCGGAGGAGGGACGCCACCCCAGATACTCGAGACTTCCTCAACTGGCATAACCTCATCGGTGATGCTGCCACTAGGGGGAGAACAGGCGCATTTCCCGTATGCGAGGCAGGAGTGATATATCTGATATCACATTCTCACAAAAGGGCCTACCGCAAGGCGATTTTCGGTCGTGCTGACTCGCGGCAACCTCATTTATTGGATTTGATCCAAGCACTCAGTGTCAACTTCTCCACCGGCCAATCTGCTTTACGGGTCTTGAAGCTATACTGCGCAGATGAGAGAAATGTACTGCCACGAGAGCCCAAGCCACTGTTGTACCAGAGCGAAGGAGCACAGGTAGGTCGCGTGTATAAATCACGGTCAGAGTGCGCTTGCAACCTGATCTGTTCGTTCAAAGAGAGTGTTGCTGTCTCTGTTGCGCATCAACGTTTTGGCAAATCAAGCATTACCGCTTCCCTCTGGCTCTGTCTCGGGCCGGGGCTCGCGGCTTTCAAGTGCGCATATGGGAGAGCAGAATTGACGGTACCAGACATTAACCCCTGCCGATTCTGGATCCACCTGGGGTCTCTGCAAGATACGAGATAACCTCGCCGTACAAGGAGGGATTGGATACGATTGATCCTCGCTCCTCTATCCAGAAGAAGTCGCCATCGGGCTCCACCTGAGATCTGAGCCATATGCATCAGATCAAAGGTATAGAGGCCGACTTCCACACCCAATTCCCGCCCGCCTGCGCTGAAGGCCTTTGTCAACAAGAGTGTCAGATCCATGTACATCCTCTCTGCGGTCGTTCGGTGGAAAGAACGCGATAACAAGACCGCAAGCTTTGACTGATCTCGACGATTAGCCCTCGAAAGCCCTGCCGCTGTCAGCCAGCCCTCACACCCGACATATCCGAGACTATGGCCCCAAAAGCCGACGTTCGTCGACACCGGACGTCGAGCCGAGACGAAGAACAGTATATCATCCTGGTCCAACCTGTATGTACGGGAGCTGCTGACAGACGTAATCCGGCAACTGACTATGAACCTCGACAGATCCCTCGCCATTGCCGGTGGCAAGAGCTGAAAGACATGACCAGGAACCTCGGCGGCCAACAGAGCCTAAAGGCCGAAGTGTTCGAGGTGGGCAATGGAACCCAGATGGGGCATTGTACCATCAAAGGAAGGGCTGACGCAGTAAAGGTTTATGGTATGTCACTACTTGAGACACATATTTGCGTCCTGACACGGCACAGAGAATCTGTGCACTCGCGGCTGGAACGGCCAGCGCGTCCGCGTTCAGTTGAGTACGCGCGAAAAGAATGGTGTCCTGAGAACAGTCGAAGGACCAAAGGAGAGCAACGGGTCGCTTGACACTGCAGCACCGCCCAGCCTGTCTCATCCTCCTAAAGGCCCTATGGCCACAACACATCCTGCAACGTATGTATGAGGCCAACAGCGGCAGAGTCACTCACTAACTCCTCCAAGACTAGGATATACCACTGCAGCTCAACCGTCTGCATCCTTGACGTACAACCCCCAATATGCAAAGATGGGTGGTTGGTCACTGCAGCAGGGAGCACCCTCTCCCCTCGCCGCCAGAGGTCCAATCACACCCTACGCTCCAGCCGCCTGTCCAAGTCAGCATGCCTATCTTCCGTCAACGGCGTCCACTCAGACAGTGACCCCTCTCACGCAGTATGGCGCACACTATCCAAGTAAAGCCGGTTCTGCGCAAGCCTCTTCCAATTCACCACTCCCACCTCGTATCATCAACGACGGGACAACAATCTTCCTGTCCAGCTTACCCTACTACCAATCTGAAAGCGAATTGCGCAGTCTTCTGAAGCGCTACGGGAATGTTCTTTACCTGGAAATCCACCCGGACCACCGCAACCCGGGCAAGAACAAGGGCACCGCACGGGCACGGTACAAGACCTTATCCGAGGCTCTGAGTGCGGTCCGCGGTCTCGACGGCCACATTCTCCGAGACCGCAAGATCAGCGTCAAGCAGGAGCGGAACGAGCTTCTTGGCCAACCAGGACCTAGAAGACCATTGCACGTGGCCGAGTACGGCGCCAGCAGCAGCGTATCGAAGCAGAAGAAGAACGTGGAATTCTCATCACCAGCTTCGGGCGCGAAGACCAAAAAGTCGCGAGACGCGGTTAGGGAACCCTCGCGCGCGAGCGATAGGTCTCAGCGGTCTATCTCGTCTACCGGATCAGGGCCCCTCGTGGTCAACGGTGCGTCGGCCCAACGAGGCAGCCAGGCAGCAGCATCGTCGAGAGATAGTGATGACAGCAGTGAAGGGGCCAGCAACAGCGACGAAGATTGCGAGGCTTCACCCGACGACGACGAGGAGGGTGTGCAGGAGGTAGGCTCACTTCCCCTACAGGCCCCCTTTTTGATTTCCTTGTTCTGTCCGAGTGCCTCACAGATGATGTTTGGTTTATGAGTCAATCTCAGGATTTCACAGCTAATATATTCGCGTCAAGGTGACTCGCAAGATACACCACCACAGACTATGAGCGGTCATTCGGCCGTTTACGCGATGCGACACACGACAATGGAGCAGAGCACAGATGATCTCGACGCAGCTCTGCCCGGCCCGGCATCAACGAGTGGCATGCAGGGCTCAGGACGGAGGACAGACAGCTTCGTTATTTCGTACTGTTTCTCGGACAAGCATCGCCAATTTTTGGACCGTTCGGTTTCTTGTTTTTGCTATTACTGTTACAGCTCTTTGATTGTGGTTCTAGCCATTCCCTGGTTCATCGCTTCTATTTCCAAAAGCATTATCGCATGGGCATTATCGCATTGCAGCGAGACGTTTCAGAGGTCGTTCAGGATATCTTCCATCTTGATGTCGCAGGTTTGATTGTATTGCTTGTCCTGTTCTTGTCCATTGGATCACGGCACTGGGAATTCGGGATGTGTGGATGACCGAGTTGAGACATAGTTTATTAGGTCCCCTTCTTTTGGCATGTATGACTTGAAAGTCAGGAATATCAAGATTACAATCGACGTAATTAATGAGGCCAAGTTTCGTCTTCCTCGTCCTCTCCTCGAAACAATGCCAATTGGATTCCCACTTCATCTATGTATGATATATCGTGTTCACCGTACTGCAATCGACCACCCCTACTTCGGATCCATTTATGGACACCACCTTGATACTCACTCATAGGGAAATCATTGATGCTCACGGCCAATACCGTTCCGCAAGATGCGACAAGTCCCACCGTCCATCTCTGTAGAGGGGTAGTTCGCGCGCGTCGACAGAACACTCCACCCCGTCCGATTCGTCCCACTTGTACGTCCCTTGCTGGTCGTTAAAACTTGTAGAGTCGAACTTTGATCGACGGCGTGCGCGCCTACATGCCGAACAAAGACACAGAATCGATCCTGTAGAGCCGACGGGCCGTCCTTCCAGCGAATCAGTCTTTCATTCATAAAAGTAGTCGAGCAGTCGAGCAGGTGGTTAGGTGGTCAGGTGTATCTGTCGAGCGTGTACCACGTGTACTTTTACTCTACATCTACATCTACATCTACATCTACATCTACATCTACATCTCCCGAAATATACCCGGCCATACAACATACGCGCATTACCGGATCGTGAGGCGAGGGTCAAGAATACATGGCCTGACATACACTGTTACTACACTGTAAGCCCACGGTCAGCACACAGTAAATACCCGATACATATGCCAGACGATGACCACGAGAGTTCGAACTACACATGTCCGTCCTCAGTACGAGACCCTCACACATATCGCATGCTTGCTGTCTGGGGTATAGGGTATATACGATGTAGGTCTTCCGCAGTGTACCTAGTTGCACAGCCTGGACCACAACCGCGTCGACGGTGCGATTACTGTTTTATCGAAGTAGGAGAGGTGGATACGTGGACATGACACCGCACGACACGACGAGACACGACACGACACGACACGACAGGCCAAAGCAGAGTAAAGCAAAGCAAAGCAAGGCAAGCAGGCAAGCAAGCAGTGGTGGACAAGGATGGGATCACCTTGGATACACTGGATACACTGGATACACTGGATACATTGGATACACTGGATACACTGGATACATTGGATACACTGGATACACTGGATACATTGGATACACTGGATACACTGGATACACTGGATACACTGGATACACTGGCTACACTGGATACAGTACGTACATACTCATTCAGTAGAAGGCGAACTTTTCTGGACCTTTTTCGCATCTGGACCTAATTAATTATCTAGGTACTCTGTACCTACTGACCTTTGCGCCGGAAGACTACCTTACCTGGTAATTATGGTATTCTTGTACTGGTTAACGATGTACGAAGTCATTAGGTGCAGACACACACTACGGAGTACTCCTTATGCATACACGTTATTATTCTGCTTCGACAAGGGACAGACGCCAGTAGACTACTGTACTCTGTACTCTGTAGACAGAACTGCACCTCGCATGCGTGGCGTGGGAGAAAGATCAAGCCGGCATCTACAGTGGCTCCAAATGCAGCCGAGAATGAAATCCAAGAACATGTTTGTTTGCCAGGAGATCTTGCCATCTGGCCGTTCAGTTTGCTTACAGTACTCCGTACAGCAGTTCCATTTGCTTGGTTGGTTGTTTGCTTCTCAGCGATACTGACCAAGACGTTCGTTCCATGCCATGCACGCTTCCCGAACTGTCCTCAGACCTCGCAGCCTTCGCAGCGATGGGCAAGCTGGCTGGCTGGCTGGCTGCCTGTCCAGCCCATCCGGCTCACCTCAGCCCGCGTCGCTGGCTAACTCGTACGTAAAGACATTCCCGGGCTCCCTGGTATACCCGTCTCCTTCCCTGCCCACCTGCCTCTGCCTCTGCCCGGTATTACGGCTGCTTTTGCCTTCGAAAGTTCCACTCCGGATATACACCTCCTTCGCTACCACCATCACAGCTCCCTTTGATTGCGACCTGGCCTGGCCACTCGTACTATAGTGGTGCACCTTCAGTTGAGAACCCACAAGATTCCAAAAACACAGGGATATCATTACTGCTACCTTGCTCGCCATTCGCTTGAAGGGACCCCCCTTTTTCCAAAGCAACACCTATGGACGGCAACGGGATCATGAATAAAACGCACTTTTCTGGAAACTCTCGACGCTGATGTCCCCGGGCTTGCCCTTCAACTCGGGCGCCATGGCCGGCAGGGGGACTTTGTTCATCCCACTCGTCCCTGCGTAGATCGAGCTTAGACTCTTCGTCCTGTCTGTCTGCTCTAGCAATTTCTGGGCCGGACCCTCTGCTTTCATCGTCTGAGTGCGGCTCCCGGGCGCCGATGCAGTTTGCCCGCCCTCGGTGATCTGGGCTTGTGTCTTCGGCGCGGGCCGCTGAATCGGTTCGAGATAGGGCGAAGGCAGGTAGCCCATTTTGCCATCGCGAGCACGACACCGCCACCATTCCGAGGCATTCCCCATGGGATCGGTCTTGCTCAGGACGGCCACAAAGTCGCCTTTCTTGACCTCAAGATCCATCCCGCCTGACTGCGGGGTGGGCGTATAATCATAGAGCACGCGGCAGAAATCCAGCTTCCGCGGGTCGATGGGGACTTGCTCGCCGTTCTGGTTCGTCGTGTAAGTGAGAGCACCGGCTTGTTGTTGGCGCCGGAGCTCTTCTTCCTGCGATCGGGCCATCGCGCGGATGAGTTTGCCCATTAGGTAGGGTAGACCAAAGACGGCAATGGCAAACATGATGAATGGTTTTTTGGAGGGGCGGGCTGGGGCGGGGGAGCCATCTGGTAACGTTGCGGGCGCGGCGTTGCCGTTTCCTGACATGAAGGAGGAGAAGGCGGCCGGCGTCAGAGCTGTAGCATCTGCTGGGGGTGGACGGCCTGTTATTTTGGCGATTAGAGTGCGCATCCAGCGCAATAGCGTGAAAATGCCGAGCACGGAGCCGAGTGTTTGGCGCAGATTGCCGAGTTGTTCGGCCATGGAGACCATTGCTATAGAGGTGTCAGTGATAGCTCTCGCACGCTTCTGTCATGGACATCGGACTCACCGAAAAAGCTCGAATGCGTCGTCATGTACGCGCTCTCCAGCATCTGCGCGAACCCGCCGAACGCACCCACTATGCTCTCCATGATTTGGAATGTTGCCGCTGTGCTTTGGTTCCACGTCTGCGTCAGAGACTGGTTGTTTGGGTTATTCGGATCCATCCCTGGGTTGAAGCCGCCATACCCTCCTCCATACATGTTGTTGCCGTACATGCCGCCCCCATAGCCGTACCCGCCACCACCGTACATGCCTCCGCCGTACATGCCGCCGCCCATGCCGCCACCGAAGCGGGAGTACGGCGAGCTGTAGGATGAGTAGGGAGAGGAATAGGGACTTGAGTTCATGCCGAAGCGATTCTGGTTTGTGAAGTTGGAGGCGTTCTGGTTGACGACAGAGTTGAGTGTAGATGGGCGATCGGGAAGAGCTGGCGTGGCCGAGGGAGGAGCATCTGATGAGGGCGCCGTCATTGCAGAGGAGGTCATGGGTGTGCTCATGCCAGAGGTAGCTGTCGATAGTCAGTCCCCGAACTTGGGGCGTCTGGGGTGTGGAGTTATTTACCGGTCGAGGCAGCACGCTCCCACGGCTTGGGCGGCGAAACTGTCGTCATTCTCTGTTATCTCGACATTGTTTGTGTTTGCGCGCTTGGAGTGAAGTGTCGGGTGGAGAGGAGGGAGGAGGAAAGGAGCACGGAGCGACAAGGGTATAGAGACAACGTAAAGCCGGATCGGTTACGGCCGGTGGAAGCGTCTATGGTGGTGGAAAGGTTGATGTTCTTCTGGCTGACATATGATCGATTGGGCTCTGAGAGGCTGGAAATTGAAGGAAAAGGCAAGATGCCGAGGATGTTTGCGGAGGCGGAGAAGGTTGGCCATGCTAAACACGGTTTAGTCGCCTGCGTCGCTTCGTCTCAGGGCGAATCTCGACGACTTGCATCTTCCGTCGGCTGAAGTCGGACCAGAGGAATATCAGAAAGGGTGTTGTTGAAGTCCGCCGGTCAAACTAATATGCTGCCCTGGTGGAAGCCAACACAGGAAAAACACTCTAGGCTCCTTCACTTCTGTCTCACTTCACACTTCACAAATGCTTGGCACAGCTATCACCACTGCACACCAGCATCAAATCCAGGTGACAAAAAGTCAAAAACTCTGCCAGGAACCCCAGTTGAATAGGAGGTCATGGTGAGCGAAAACCTGGGTAGGTTTTTCCGGCAGTCCTGTTGATGGTCGGTGTACGAGTTCTTTGATTCCTGGTTCCTGGGATGGTTGAATTTGTCGACTTGGTTGGTGTTATTCAACTGTGAGCTCTGTCGAGATCCCAAGACATCACCACACAAGGGGTACGCCCCAGGGTGGCCGGTTAAGCCTCGCTCGAATTACAAATTCATCCTCGTATACACTCGGATAGCCTTCTACGCAGC